TTTCCATTTTTATTCAAATTTTCGTACAGTGGAACTTTCGTCTTGACGATGGCGTTTAACGCGGAATATTTCAAACAAATGAATAGTGACATACCGAACTGTTGTGGTTAAGGCGAAACACCAAAAATTGAACACTCATTTGATAATTTCAGCGCGTTTAGAATGATGACTTGTACGAGTGCAAAGACGATTAATGAATATTGAAGAAGAAAGAACACAAAGATAACGTTTCTCGATTCGGTGTGAGTGAAACAGTTTGGACAATAAGAGAGGATGTTGAAAATTAGCACAATTGTTTTTTGCACATAACAGCTAAACACATTAGTCATTATAATCTAATGAATCCATTGCTAGTTTCGATCAAACGCAAACTGCTCCTCAGATGTCAACAGATAACAAAACAGAACAATGGAGTATTGCTTATAGCCATTTGAAAACTGCATACCTAAAGGAAATATTAAAAAAGCAGACGATATTGAATGGCAGCAACAAAGAAAATGCGCACTACATGATCAAATCATTTTTTTAGCGTGACACGAAACCTGCGGTATTTATGAATGGTGAAGCTAAACCATCAAACGGATTGAGAGTGGAGAGAAATGGATGGTAGAACTTTCGAATTAACCAATTTACAACCAGCTGCTTGCTGCTAGGAAATGAAAAAAAACAGAACGAAAGCATTTTACGAAATTCTCTAAATATGCTCTACACATAAATCATTAGGTAAAGAGTAATTTAGTGTTTATTAATGTACTGATGAGCACCAAATTTTTGAAAGGGCAGATGCGGGTAAGCTTTTGGGATCACCTCGCAGACTACTTGCAAAATTCACCACAAAATATGATAGTACAGTCTGGTAAAATGTGAATTCTGCCTGACCGATATTCGTAAACGATTCATTAAAAGCATCTTCAAGCGATTCATCGCCTCATGCGTTGAAGTTAAATACGCAAGACGATTAAATTGCAAATGAGTAAAGAGATTGTAAAACTAAATATATATTACATATTGAATAAAATATTTAAAAAATATCTCACTATTGTAACTCAACATTAACGCTCGTAACAAAATATTGACTGGAATAAATATTCTCTTCTACGAATAGAATATCACGTTATTTTAAATGTATATACATATTTATGTTTATATATTTGATAAACGAATATACAGAATGAATATAAAACGGTTGACTCACAAACACAGTCACTTGTGTGTTTATTGCAATGGTGCGAGCGTTTCGTCTAGCAATGCAAAAGAACACTACTAGTAGCAGCCGTTGTAAGAAAGGGATGGGAATGCACGATAGAGTACTATTAGCAATAACGGCATTGTGAAAGAGTATGAGGACTTTGTATAAGTATATAGATAGATGAGAAAAGCACAAAAGAAGATGCACCGAGCTTTGGTTTTAGTGTGGTGGATGGACGGGATAGAATGGATCGATGATGCACGGATGGATTTATTTGATCGACATTGACACTGCATCGGCATCCACATCGATATATACACACATATATATTTATTATTACATATTGTGCATTCAATAGCGATGTACTAATGAAAGTGTATTCAATCTTCTTTCATTATCACTACCTCTCGTTCCTCATCTAACTTGATCATCCTCATTACCTCATCAATACGATATTTCAATTAATTCATCCATACTCGGTTTCTGATTTATCTCGGAAGCATGCAAACCCGTCATCGTAAGACGTAAACTATCCAATAATGCCTTACAGTCATCATAACTTTAAGCACCAAACTCAGCCTGAGCAAATGAAAAATAATAGTCTTAGACGATATCTAATAAGTGCGCAGTTCACTCTGAAACGATTTGCCCAGTTGGATTTGAACAAACTAAAAGGGACAAGAATTCGATCATAATTCTGTTCCGTTCTACGCATAATTACTCGCAGATAAATATATGAGATTACGAGATGGGTTCATTGAGGCAACTGCATGTAGTGATCATTCATTTATTCAATGTGCACATTTCGGTTTCACGGTGATTTACGTTGAAATTCTCTGTTACCATGATTGAAAACAGACAACGAAATGACCAGCAATTTCAACATGAAATAACTTCCAGCAAACAATGTCAACATTTCTCGCAGGAAAATGAACTCTGCGATGTAGAAGAGAAGAATAAGAAGGTAGAAATTTTACGGCGAAGAAAATTTTGCAACGAACTGCTTAAGGAATATTACTGAACACTGCCAATTGCTTAAGAGAGCACGTTTACATTGCCAGCAACATTGTTCACGAATGTTTATGGATATGTACGTACACAGAATTTGCACATACTTTATAACATCGCAAAACGAACCGCGAGGGAAAATTACAAACTAAAATGAAAAAAAAAGAAGCTTCAGTGAGTAGCGACGTAATTCAGAATGTTTGCTCACGAGAATAAAATTTCACGGGAGGGAAAACTATGAATGTAACCTCTCAATGAGAACATAAAGAGCTGGGTTTTTTTTCTCGGGATATTCACTGTGTTCCGCGAAACTGAAAGGAGTGGAAGGGGGGGGGGGGCCGTGAGATAGAGCAGGAAAGGCGGGATCGGGAAGTTGCTGCTTCATCAAAAAAACCCACTTCCAGGAACGATATTACTCATATATTATCCCAATTCCCAACCAATGACACATCTATTCCAAACAACGCGAATATCGATGTAATTTCTTGGTGATGAAATGGTTTCATGGCGAGGACAGAAATGCAAGCAAAACACATCGCTAAACGACACGCAGTGAATGATGAAATGAATCTGCTTCTACGCTTCCAAAACGCTCGGCTTCGTAGGCACATAAAAGCGCGTGTACGCAGATATCGGAAAAATTTTACGTCCCCAGAAGCGCATTAATCGCAGTTCAATGCAACAATATTAGAAGCATGGAAACATAAATTAAAATAAAAATCTGATCTCGAAACAAAAACTGCTATAAAATATATTCAAACACTGAATACTTTTCATAGAAAAATAGAACAGAAATAGAAATTTTTTGATGAATTTGCGAAAAATTTTCATTTGGAGTCATCAACCACAACGATTCCTAAATATGAAAACGTGATCACATATTCAGTTCAATAATAACATCAAATGCGTCTCGTAATGAGATATTAATGCTCCTAAAGATATCGTAAAATTGCACTATTTCAAATAAGAAACATAACAAACATATTTTGGATGAACAAAAAGATCAACGACTTGCACATTCCTTAGATGAGTAAACAATTGGGTGGAATGAACGATCAACTCGATCCGAAATTTCCCGGCAAAGGAAAATGATGAAAGACATGAGAAACCGATGTGGATATTCCAATTAGAATTCCTATCTAACAAATAAAATTGTAAAAGAACAATTACATTTATATTTCAAGAAACACCACTGTTCAAATTGCAAAGAATACATCAATATCAAGGAACTATGAATGTGCATCGGAAATCAATCGCACAAATCAGCGATTATTAAATTTGCACGCAAATCTGAATACGATCGATTGAGAAAGAGTGAAGGAATGCCAACCAGACAATAATAATTTTGAGGAAGATCTAGTGGGCAACGTAAACATTTCTGCTGATCTGAATTCATATTTCATAACACATTTTACTGATGGCATAATACAGCAAAAAACGATAATTCATCAAATCGTTAACAAAAACATCAGTAAGCGAATATGCATCTGCTCCAGGCATCTATCATTTTAACCATCGCTTCACCTTAACTATCACAAATAGCAGCAGCACAGCTACAAGTGGACAGCGTCAACGCTCACACAAGCGGAATGATGTCATACTACTGATAACAGGGAAATTCGTTTAGGGTAAGAAAGGCGTGACAAAAGACGCGTCATTACAAGAAACTAGTGAGGAGAAAAACGCAGCATGCTGTAAAACAACTCAACCCAATGTCAACTCGAGCCGTGAACCTAAGCATAAGTCTAAGCCAAAGCTTGATCCAATAAGAGTGACTTTTGTAGGGTTTCAATGCTCCGTACGCATATCATGTCTCATTTTTGGAATGCTGCCCAAATTCCAACGGAGCTAAATGGTTCAATTTGTTCACCGTCCCTTCACTAATTGTAAGAGTAATAATGATATTTTACACGCCTGTTTAACATTTGCGCAGATTACTTGATCATAACAATTAAAGACAAAGAATTCACCAACTAGTGATGAAGCGAGCTATGACGAAACGAAATGTTAAGTAGTACAACGGCATAATAAGATTGTTCTCAAACTTTTTCTTATTTGTGAAAATTCTGCCATTCACGAGAGCATTTCAAAACAACGCTCAGCATTTTACAAATTTACGTGCAACATTCTCTAGACTAATGTGCACCATCTCCGAGTCTACATTAATTCATTACAATCTCACATGGAACCTTCAAATCACGAAAAGCTATTAGGAATATTAAACCATCGCAATTTGGGGATTGATTACATTTGGATTCATTGAAATCGGGATCAATAAGCAAAATATGGAACAGAAACTGAACAAAATGTCACGTCAAGAATTCAAGGAACTGGAAGAGGGAAAAATTACGGAACAAGAAAAATTACAGAATCGAAATAACTACATTTCCTTCTAGTAGAAAACGGTTTTCGAAAGAAGTAACAACGACTACGCAACAGAACATTGCAATTCAAGATAGTTGTACATTAATCGATAATGCAAAAACACAGAGCAAGTACAGTTTGACAGTTGGCCATATTATGTGCTATACAACGAACGTACACAGGTGAACAACTCAATTGAGGTCCCTTCAGGAACTGCAAGTTGATGAGCATCACTATTCAGTGCAACTTCAAAAAATTACATAAACGTTGGTGGTATTAGAATGTTCGTATTTAGGATGACATGAACTCATAATCGGAAAGTGACAAAATCAATTGCTAGCGATGAACGTAAACGACAGACAGATAAGACGCACGCTGGATACGAACGATAGCTACACACGCACATATTTAGTAGCATAATAAATATTCAAAAAAATTGTCACTCACTTGCAGTATTCAAATTAGGGGGTTCAGGAGTTGTACCATTCGGTGGAGTGCTCGTAGCCGATGCTGGTGCATGTCGTTGCAATGATGCGGGCAATGTATCAGCTGCATTACTACTACTATTGGTACCATTAGCATTACTATTGTTATCAGTACCACCGCCAGTTGTATCGCCAACAGATGCAGCAGGTGCCGTTTCGGATGACGACGACTCACCGGTATGGCCGGAGGCGGGTACGCCGTTCATGGGCTCGCTGGTGGTGCGCTCGTTGGAGTTCGAGTTCGAAGAGATGCTCGTGTCCCCGCAAGTGCTGCTTGCGCTACTCGACTCGTTGTTTTCCACGCCACGCTCACGTTCCTCAGGCATTGTTGGCGAACTAGCGCCAGCCGAATCACAATTCGCTTGATTTGCCAGCGTTATCACTTATAATATAAATAATAAAATAGCTACTGACAGTACAACAGAATAGCTACTATCAGTTTAGCAATCAACCGACCAATTTAATAATAATTGTACCTTTTGCAGTCAACACGTGCAATCCAAGTGCGCACACGTCAGCGGAGTGATGATCACAAATGCGTTCAATATAACGCTACTACTTAGCTATCTGGGTTACGCCTAAAGGCAATAATAGTATCTCAGTTCTACCACCCTCTCTCTAACACTTCTATTCACGTTGAAACGTTGCTGCAGCAGCAGCAGCAGCATCTTTCATCCATTCTCCTCGATTGCTACACACTCGTTCTCTAAGATCATTTACTGTAATGCGGCAATTTGAATTCCTTCCTCGCAACATACTGCAGCGATGTCTCATCACAGTTCCTTACGGCCACTGCGGGAAAGCATACTATTCAAATTTATCACTATAGTATTCTAGGCCACGATTGCTTTGTTCTGAAACTTAAACGTATGAGAGATAGGTCAAAAATTCAATCTTTTCTAGAAGAGGTTCGAACAGAAAAACTAAGAGAACGGTTGCCTTAGACTGGCAAATCCCGTTCTCAAAATATACGCTTTGCAAAACATTCCCAAGCAGACTTTGCCTTTTTTTTTCATTTCTTCGCGGTGAAAGAAATGAAATCGCAGCATGATAAAGTTGTTAAAAACGTATCTAAAAAATTACCAAACTCATTGAGAAGAGCAATACATTGAAAGTTTGCTCAGAAATAGTTTCACGTTCGCTTTTTCAAAGCTCTCACGTAGAAGTTCATGCCTATGGAATTTAGCTGTGGAAAAATTTTGTCTTAGAATGACTGAAGACCAAACTGAAAGAGCAGTAGCTTCATTCGGTGCCGTTTCATAAAACGTGGTTGCTTATTGGAATGGGAAAAACGTGTTTTGCTGCTGTGCAACAAATGTTTAACAGATTGTGACACGATTCTTCCCATTTTTATGCCCGTCTACCTTCACTATTGTCACTACCAACTGGAAACAGTGCCTTCTAATGATGACATTAACGACATTTGAAGGAATGCATATATGAAATTGTGATGATTAAATTTCAGTCGAATTCAATTTCATAAGAATTGCAAAATATCAGCTCTTTTGAAAAATATCTTTCTATCAAATGCTGTGAAGGACTGTCATCCAACAAAGCTCTTCTAGTGCATCCAATGAATTTTGACCCTAACTACCGAATCTACCCATTAGTGACGGATCAGTCACTGACCTTCAACAAAATGGAATATTATCGAAAGGAAAGAACGTAACCCATCTCAAAAAGCAATTACTGTCTGCTGTTGGATACAAACGAACAACCCAACAATGATGAGAAAAGAAACTCCTCTATGCCCTATAAAAATGTAAATTTAATGCCGACGTTTGCACCTTTCAACTGCAGTGTAAAACAAGTATGTTCTCAAGCGAATTCAAATGTGCTTTAAAGCATCGTCACATTCCATATTTTTTGAATAAGAAATGAACGGTTTAAGAGGTCTGATATTTTTGCCAAAACGCAACAAAGTATGGGTTCCCAGACTGAGCAATACTGCTCGCCAGTGAGAGAAAAATGTATGAAAATTAGCGAATCTGGTGGAGAAGTTTAGGTTTCACAGATCAGTCCCAGGTTAGTGATTTTAGGTTTTATATGTCAAAGCACTCAGAAAGGTTTGACGCAGATTTTTGTCGTTGATGTTATAGTGAGTCCTAAAGACACTGAGACTAGTTCCATCCCTCTCAATAATTAGCATGTTAAGTCGGGAACGGAATTTCGCAGACGGGGACCTCGAAAATGCAGTTGGCTCGAAAAAAGTCGGGTATGGGTACATAGAATTTCGGGGAAAAACTCAACCTTGTCTTCGTCTGCGATCGGCGAATTTTCTCCGAAAATGAACTGGAACCAGTAAGGCCTTGAAAACAGGCATTTCTGATGGAAAAGCATTGAAATATACAATCTTCAAGATAGAACAAATATAACCGTAAGACAACAATGCAGTTTGAACAACAATATTTCATTGAATCACGTAAAAAATGAACAGTGCATAACATTTCTCAATAAATGCTAAAAAAGTTTCCGAAACGATGCACATTACTAAATATGGGAAAATTTCAACAACTGATAAATGGAAGCACGGACTTCGTCAAAAATCAACATACTTGAAAAGTTCTAAGTTACGAAATCACATAAATTCAGTGAGTATGAATCGGTAAAAACGACAAGCATTTCGTTAATAATTTGAAGACCCAATGCCTCCAGTAAACACGATAGAATGATAACAATTAAAGAAAAAACGTTAAATACAGCCTCCGAAGAGAAAAGTTAAGAGATTGAAATGTCTTTTGGATTGACATAATGGGAACTGAGTAAAATTCACGTTTTTTGTGCTTTGATCCGATTTTATTAATTATCAAGGAAAATTCGGGAAATTCCTCGGAACGTTTCAGGTAACAGGAATTCCTCAGAATTCCATAGAAGATAGGGACCCCAAAAATGCAGTCCACTCGAAAAAAGTCGGGAACTGAGAAGTGAGGACGGGGTCCTTGAAATTGCTCGTTTCCCAACAATACACTAGACGTTACCCAATCCTACATGTTATAGTTGCATTGATTAGATTATATGTGGGCTGAGGAGCACTTCATTGACAGACGCTCAACTCTAGGGTTGGGTGTATGGCCATCGACTGAAAGTTATCGTAATTGCCTTATCGATGAGCATCGAATTTCGGTTGCTTGAATAGGATGATGTTCGCTCGGTGGCCACCTACGTCATAAAGTATGCAGCTCTCTCAGTATGTGGTTTGATGGCAGCGAAATTTTACACAACGTATTTTTGTGAGTATATAAATCATTGAAGCGTAATAGGAGAAATCTCAACTTTAGCGATGAACTGACAAGAAGTACTTTGTGTCAATTAACGTTTAAAGTTCGACTGCTGAACACGGGCTATTTTTGGCTAAAATTTTGCATGTAAGTGCATAACATGCGTTATTTTCATTACACCTATACGACCGCTGTGTTTTTTGCATCTTTCTGCTGCTTAACAATTTACATTTTTTTTCGACTTTTTAAACATCTTCAAGGCGATTATCACATATTTTTAAAAATGGAAAGGAATGTGCCTTATTTGTTTAAACTTTCAGCTCAAGTGAGCGGCTGCCTTAAAAAATGTTGAAAACTAATGCAATAACCGATTCAATGGATTTAGGATCTTCACCGCGCACACGATTAATACCTTAAAAAATTTGATACTGCGGGTGATTTTAGACTGCATCTTCAAAAACAGCATTTTTCAGTGTCGTTGTTTCGGATCACTATAATCTCGTTCCGAATGGCCATCTATCTCAGAATAAGTTTTGGATGAATATTTGGTGGTCATGAAACATTATATCATCGATTTATCGAGCGCTTTTTGGCTTGAAGTTTTTTGTTGCGAATTTTTATTACCTGGATTACCTGGACTGGCTAGGCTATCAAACGTTTGTAACGTTGCAGGCCACAATGCTCGCGTTTCCGTGCACATTGTTTTAGCCTCAATTTACGCCACCCCGCTGGCTAGGCGAACAGGCCAACCGAACATTTAGTTACTTGCCATGAATACTTTGCATATTTTATCGTCGCCAAATATCAATCCAATAAATAATCAGTCTTTTAACTATCCGTTTTTTTAAAAACATTCATGCAACTGAGTAATTTGAACTTTTTTTTTCGCAAGTTATTCGTAATTTTTCAATAGTGTGGTAAATTCGCGATGGTCAAATGGAAACTGGCTTCAAACCAGAGTAATCAACTCCAAAGCACCAAAATCTTTGTTCTTCTCCGCGATTACTGGTCTCATCATCAAGCGAGCTTAAAATAGAGAAATCATTTTCCAGGTTGCTTCTCAGATGGCAAAAAGCTTTAAAAACGAGATAACCACTGATGATATCCCATAGACTAAAACAGTTACGAGAATCTTTTCCAACTTCTGAAGCATCGTGAAAATAGCGAATTCTGTGACACATTTTTATCGACAGCAATATTTTTGCAGGAAATTAGCTGATTCTTGTGGAACTCATAAGATGCTTGCAAGGAACAAATCGGTTTATGAAATTTTATGTTAAACTCTTATTAATTTACAGCATCGATGAGATCACTTGTCACATCATCAACAAAACGATTACGAATCAAACAATAGGTACAATCAAAACATAAACGGAAAACTTCTGAACATCTTTAACTCGATCATACTTCAATTGTTGAATGCAACTTTTTAAAATCCATGCTACCTCCATACAACAAATCATATGCATCACAAACACAAACTCGAACACAAAACAATGCCTTTTGCATACGATTCAAATGAGTGCATTGTGCACCAAATCAGTTTAGTGCAACAATGAAAGTTCATATTGTAACCTCATGCACAACCACTATTTTCGAATACAACTGCAACCTCCCGCCTCTACCCCATCACCACTTTGTTCAACTGCGAAACCTTTTTAGATTGAAAATCACGCGACCTAGGCGTGAATAATTTTTCTCAGAAGCAACACAAAGACACAACGTGATACAATAATGACTCTCGTAATTATTATTCAAACTAGTCAGAGTAATAGCCAATAAATAAAAAAGATATGAACAACTAGCCGGTTTGCATCGGGGCACCCACTCATCGTTGACGGAGAGTATCGTAGGTTGGTTGACCAACAACTGCTAATGAATGATTAAAAAAATTCGCATAAACAAGAATGCTCAAAGGAATAAAAATAGCATTGATGAACGCAATGATATGTGGCAGTCACATGAACAATAAAAAGCATACAATACGAAATATATTTAACATATTACATTTACGAATAATTCAATTAAACGACAACAACAAACGATAAAACGTACAATTACAAATTGTGTAGACTGATGGATAGACAAACGATTGACTCACAGAGTGGAGCTGTACTCAATCAGGCGATTACAGTATGCATTCATCTGACCAAGCATGCAAAGTGGCAATTAGGAAACTGTTATTACAACATATCGCGTAGTATGATCAGTGGACCGGTAGCTGCTTACGAATTCAGCTAAAACAGAAAAGACTGAACTGAAGTGATCAAGAATAAAATAAAAAGGAAACCAACTCACTTTGACAAAAACTATTGAGCATAAGTACAATGAAATAATTTCATTTCCTATGATAAACAATCGAACATTTCTATACGTATCGTAAAAACATCAGCTCTCAGAACGTTGCCCGAGTGAGTACCAGACCAATCGGAGAGCTTTGAAAGCATTGGAAAGATGTCATTGGCGAATGGAAGATCCATCAATGAAGGAGGGTGGCTGATATCAGAAAAAAATGGGAACGACTAACAGAATAACCAATTGGTCAAATTATTCACGCGAACCAATCCTCAAAGCTAACATGGAGACAAAAATCCCATGGTTATACATGTGTCTGCCAAAATTAATCAATTCAACGTCATAAAATTGAATCATTTAAATACTTCGCTGAGCATAAAAATTACCACTTGTTCACCACTCAGTGTTAAATCAAAAATAGTGAGTGAATTGATTATGGCGAACTGGTTTCAGTACGACACAAAAGCGAACGATGCAAAATCTATCCCGATATGCATCATTCATTAAGAATTGGAATTCAGTTTCCAAGTACAATGTCGGTTCATAATACTTACAATGGGAGAAATTATGTCGCTGAGAATGAGAACATTATACGATTATTTCGATAGTAGCAAAACAGATATTACGTATAACGTCAAGCGCGGTCATGAAGTCCAGGAAACTCAGCATACATATCAATGTGATATTCAAAAAGAATGAGCTATTATTTCTGAACGTGCCTATTGACGATCGCAGCAAAAGCAAACGGATGATAATCTACAAACTGAAATATCACAGTTCAACAACCATCAACTATTCATCTGAATACGATGACCACGTTCTAAAACTGCAATACAAAATACACAAACGTTTCAGCCTAAATATAATTCTCGAAACTGTAAAAGCACCCGATCCGTGAGGAAAGCAAAGAATGAATGGCATCAGTCTCAGTTGACGACGTAAACAGAAAAAGAGAATGACGGCTGATGACAGCACAGCAGAGTCGATTATGTCCGTTGCTTGCAAATACTACTTCTACTTCCATTAAAATTACCCACTGAACCCACGTCCCAAATACACTGACCGAATCAACGTCAGCAGTCGTTCAACTCAATTTTTCTCCATAGATCAGCGTATTCGTTAATAGTCTGAAAGCACTCATTATCATTGCACTTGCGAACTATAATAATAAAAAATAGTCAACTCAATACATCGAACCGAACACAATTAAAAAGATATATTGCAAGTAAACACCTTAATCCTACTAACGCTTTCTTATCTATCAGATTCAAAATAATCTTTTTAAACAGTGAAGACGTTGAGAGCGTATGAAACATGCTATGAATATTCCTGCTGCTTGAACTGATATTCATGATAACTTGTAATTTAGATCAACTGCATATAAGAAACTCACCGCATGCAACCACTTTGTGTTCCTCATACAATTCTCAACAACTGCATCTGAAGAAATGTTCGGATTCTCGAAACTTACTGCTTCCATCTAGGAACAAAATGAACTGATTTATTATTAGTGATCATGAGATCTAATTACAAACAAGTTGGCAAATACAATCGACATTTCTTCATTAGAAATTCTACGATCAAATATTTTCCAAATGACTGTTTGGTTACCTTTATCAACAATGAAATGCTTCATGCTCGAACTAGGAAGAGGACCTTGATCCTTAAGATCATCAGCGTGAATAAAATAATCGGCACTTAGAGTCTGACAAAAATTCACTGGTGATAGTGCAATAAATAAGGCACAACAAAATAAATCAATCACCTGGTCTTCGCATTTTTTCAGCAATAAATAGCGCATATGATGCAATTTGTGGTAAGTTAATGACAACTTTGCACACAATGAACATACCAAATATTCCTTAAATAATCACAGTAATCAACTAATACTGATTCTTCAATAAATGACAGGATAAGAAAGAAACTCTGCAATTCGTGCACATCATGTTTTTACAGCAAGGCAAAATCCAGAAATTGCTTGGGTGCACAGGCGGAAATACGGATTGCTATCCGCAAAAAGTGGCTCGCTTCAAAAAAGTCAGCGATAGTCATTGAATTGAAGCACATCAAAATCAACGAAATTTCATGCATCGATGAAATTTCATTGTGAGTTTATGCAATTATTACTTTTCTGTAGTGGTTTTTTCCATTGATCATTTTTATGTTATCAAAAATCAATTATGAAAAATTCTTTCGGTCACGTTTACTTTTATTTTTAAATAAACTACTATCATGAGAGGTGCGAAGATATTTTAAAATTTTTTGGAGGATGCGGTTGGAAAAAGGTTGAGAACCATTGGTTCGGTCCCTGAAAATTCAAAAAAAAAAACATTGAACGTTTTTGAAGGAAGGCTACGCTTTCAGAAGATCGAAGCAAGGAAACGAACTGACCATTGCTGGCATCGGCGAACCAGATCCCGTATAGCGCATTTCTTCTGACTCCAATGTATCGTAATCGTAACCTTCATTCGAAAATAACTGTACAACACGTTCAACTGGTCGTTTGCCACATGCCTGAAATTCACCTGATCCGTTAACTTCTCACAATGAAACGATAAAATAAATGATTAACAACCTGACAATTAAGACCGCCTCCTTCAGCATCACACGCAACACAACTCGAATAGAAATGCAACATATCAATGTATCTTTCGACCCATTTCACTCGTGACAATACTTTCTCTTTTCGATCTTGATTCAACCTATCAATATCGTTCAAAGCACGCAGATAGTTCCAATCTACAAAAAAATCCGTTAACATTTCACATCTGAGGTAATGCTTTCGATCCTTTACCATAACTTCCCTCATTCGTAATCCTAATCCAGCAGTACTGATAATAAGCACAAACCTAAATGAAAACCTTCAAGAGAATCTATAATTCTGGCTACTGTTAAATGTTTGTGAAATTTGTTTCGAGAATTATGGCAAAAAGTGGAAACGATCTAAACATTAAACAATACCAAGAACAAAACTAACCATTGCCCTGTTTTACGGATTGTAAGAAGGAAAGACTGAGTCCGTGATTGAGCATTGCCCTTACATACGTGCTCATTTGATCACGAATAGGATCTTTCAATGACACTTCCACTCCGCTATTGCTACTCGATGTGGCGATGCCGTTTTCTACATCACTACCTGCATTATCAGTCAATTCATAATACTCTTCCTGTTGATGATAACCAATACAGTTACAATCAAACTAGCGTATCTCATCAATGAAACAACATCAATGTGATAACTACCAGCTGACATATTCACCTTCACATTCAAAAGCAAACCTAACTGATCATCGTTTTTTAAAAGTTTTACCTAATCAATCAGTTAATCTAATCAACCAATCATCTTCTGGCACCGTGATGCAAATCTCATGAAATTTACCGATTATTCATCTGCAGATTACTGACAAATGCATCGTTTCTATAATACAATTCTTCATCAAAGAAAGCGATGTTTCAGAAAATGGCTTGGAAAATTTAAGCAGTGTCAAATTGGAGTAAGCAAAAAGGTTAACAGAGGAAAAGAATAATGAGATACGATATACAACTGGTAGTATGTTTACTAATAGAACAGTGACTGGGCTTTAAACAAAAGACTAACATTGTGAGGTCTTTTCATCAACTTCTGAGCTGACTGCTGGGAACATATCGAAGAGTGGTAGATGTGGTTCAACAATAGATTCCGATCGAGTATGCTTTAAAAAACGAACTTCCACAACCAAATAGCCATCGGCGATTTGATCACACCAACCAGAATACTGTAACGCTTTACGATTATAATTTTACATAAATAAATGAAAAATTTTCAAAACAAAGACAAAGAAAAGAGGAGAGGGCTAATTCATTATGAGGTGAGAATTTCGTTCCTTCATTTTCTTCAGCATGAATTTTCAGACGAAACGACCAAATCGTTGAAATATTTTTGAGACACGATATCAGAATCAACGATGATCAAATATGCGAAAGACTGAAAAAATTCGATGAAAATCGGTGTAAATTTTTTGTTTCGTGAATAACTTGAATTCATTAAAATACACGAACAATTGAATTTTTACCGTCGAACTATTTTTGTAAGCAATTTTGTTGTCCATTTTAATGGGTGGATACTTTTGCAGCAGATTCTGATTGTCGACTCGCCATAAAGGACATTCTTCTTTGAGAATATCTGCTTTGCATACCACGAATGTGCCTTTCTACAATAAAAATAGCACAACTTATACACTGACTCGCCTAAAGTGGATCAGTGAAGTTACACTAAATATCGCTCTGCGATCACTTCGAACAATTATATGTTAAAAGCAGTGACGTGCAAATGTAAAAAATATTTGCTATGTATGGAAGAGAAGATGAGTAGGTGGCAAACTAGCGCATGCAACCGAAGATCACATGTCGTGGATACAGCAACGTTTCGGCGTCGCAACACACAATTACAAAACAATTCAGAAATAAACACAATCAACAATGTTTCGAATCCTTCCAATAGAAAGAAAAACGATACCGTTAAGTGTCCGTTAGCCTGACTGAATTTGGTAGGTAGACTCCATTCAGTACTATCATTCAATGAACCCCTACGTTCACATTCATTAAGAAGCGTACTTGAATATCGCCGACAAGTATCGTCTTGTCGTGAACCTTCAAAAAATTGAATCAAATCACTAATAACTAAAATCAAATCGCTTGAATGACCAAAGAACAACTTTATTTTCAACCACTTCGGTTTGTTTCCGCATGATTCAATGGCAAGAATTTGATTCCCTAAAGTTTATCAGAATTGCGACTTGAGGTGCAAACAGCAATTGCAGCTATCCATTGAATGCACTTGAAAATGAAAGAGCTTAACTTTCGAACGTTGGGTGATGATTCGTAAAAATATTCTGAAGAAGACAGAAATGAAAAGTTCTCAGGAAAGTCTGAGCACAGTTATTATGTATCTCTTTAAAAATTCGTAAACTGAAAATGTGCCTATGAGTTTGAACATAAAACAAAAAGCAATACAGATTTCAATATTCAAATGCCGATGAACCTGGTTCAACATAATGCTCTTCATCATCATTCCACTGCATCATCAATCGACGTTTCTTGCTGAATATAGCCATCTCAGCTGGTCGATTGATCGGCTCCGCATTGCGCCATTGCTCATCGTCAACCGTAATAACACGCGCCTCATATCTAAAAAAGTGTCGATGAGCACCGCGCAGAAATTATTTTGCAGCAACTGAATGATATCAGAATATATTAACCGAATATATAACATATGAACAATTGAACTATCAAACAGTGATGTTATTGCAAAGATCAGTTCTAGTGAAAAGACTGCAAGTAGAAACGAACTCGTGTTCACGTTTGTGATGTTTATGTTTATGCTTTTTCTTCTTCCTCTTCTTCTCAGATCCCTCCCATTCCCGATCACGATCTTTACGCTTCCTTTTCTTTTTCTTTTTCGATTTCTCGGAACGAGACGGAGACTCTTGAAGCGATCGTTTTGGAAGACGAATCAACAGTTTTGGTAACGGTCGATATTGTGGCAACAGACTGCAAATTCATCAATCACATATTAATCAAATGCGTCATTGAATAAATTTCACTTCTGTTTCCTTCACAAATATTCTGCTGAATTTCTTACAATCAACCATTCATACATCTAAAACCAGCTCGCTCCATATTATTATGGTGCAAGGACGGAAAAAAGTCGGGGAAGGGGAAAGCTGGAGACGAAACTTTGCAGTCAGGGACCTCGAAAATGCAAAAACTGTCGGCGACGGGGCTCTTAAATTAACAAATCCCCGCACCACACTACTCCATGTTCCACATTACAGATGTCTAATGAAGATTTATCGCAAATCTTATCACTCTTGGTGAATAATATATCCAAATCACGAACATAAAAGCCATCTTATATCGTACACGAACGAACGTAAACAATAAATATGAGCGCATTGGGGTCAAACGTAAGTTTAAAAAAAAAAAAACTACCACCATCTAGATCACGGTTTCTCAACCGGGAGGTCTCGCACCCCCAAAAATGCGGGATGATATTCCAGGGAGTGCAATACAAGATTGTATTTTTTATACAATAAAGTAGGCGAGGGTAAACCTTAACGTATTTATTTTTGAAAAGGCCAGAACATACTCTAATGGTATACATTATCTACACTAGAGAAACATTCTAACGAAAACAATGCAAAAATAAGAAATAAAAGTTCACGAACCCGTTGTCTGGTTTATATTCCTCTTGAGGTTCCACTTTAATGCTAATTACAGATGGCTGTTCGCTACATTCATTTTTTGCAGTGTTTTTGTCATCAAGACATTTTGTTTTCAAAAATCCGTACGACGAACGATACTGCTTCCGGCGCTGTAAGGATTCGGCTAACGTCAACACTTCGGGAGCTTTTTGAGCTGCAATCAATTGAATTACTCAAATCGGTGCTTTCAGACAAATATTAATTCAATATTCAAACATTTCTATGGGTAGGGCAAAAATAAAAATTATTTTTGATTATGACTAGATTCGAAAAACAACCGCAACGTGAATGATCATTATATATGTTGCGACACTAAGACTAAAAGAAATTGTTTGGGTAAACGATTTGTGTTAATCGAACAGAAGCAAAGACAAATGAACCATGTGAACCTGAAGTGCCAGCAGTATCCGCACGCTGATCGGACGCAGAAGCGGGTGGTAATAAGGGAGTAGACGGAACACACGGTCTTTCGGCAACTGCAGCCGTGTGTCGTTTCTTCGGTACAACGTGCCTCCATAGATCCTCAAAATTGTATTTGTATTAATTTTTGTGCTTGTATAGTTTGTGTTAAACGATCACTTTCACGCGCTTTGAATACGATAACATCTTGCGAACTTCAAAATGGACAACCTGTTGGCTCTGAGCTTCAAGACAAGCAATTTTATGTTTGAGCTCCGGATGAACGCTGTTAATCCTCGCCAACTTCTGTGCCACTTCAGCTTCTAACCTCTGCTCTTTCAACTGCGATTCTGACATGGTTGCACCGGACGGTAACGCTCCCTCCTCTTCGTCGTCAGTGAAACTATAAGCGTCATCGGCTGCTGAAAACAAATCAACAATTACAAGTCACTCTCTCAAACCAGTCCAAAGAAATTCCAGCGGTGACTCGAAGAATAAATAAATGAAACAAACAATCAACAACTACCACTTTTTGCAGGTGGATCCTCTGATTTGGGAGTGGTGCACACGAACGTTTTCGATTTTTGTTTATAGATGGGAATTTTATTGCACTTTGGTTTCTTATCAACCGTAGGCATGAAGACATATGGAGTGACCGAAGGAGATGGCTCAGGTCTTTGTACAGCAACATTCGTTGTGGTTCGATACGCAGAAGATGTTGACGGTTGCGAGGTGGGAAAGAAAAAAGAAGACGTGACAATGCTTGTTGATGAGGTTGACGGTGTTGGCGAATCTGGTGGAGTAAACTGCAAAATTATATAGCACTCAGCATTTCAACGTAAAAGATACTTATTCACTTCACGTATTCAATACGAAATAGGTAAGTATATCGACTTCGTTGGTACGGTTATTGCTATTCGGCTATGCTAAATTACAAAAAGTATTTATGGCAACGAGCATTCGTTATTACTTCTTTGCGGGATGTTTAATTCGCCAATCGTCGACATTAATTAAAATCGTTGTTTACAACTGTTTTCGAAAGATTACTGGCCTAATACTATTGATCATTGGACACATATTCAACCGATTCTATATTCGGGCTCATTTTGAATCCCTCTCCCTAGAAGTCATTGGACAATATACAAGAATCGCCTCATATGTCTATATTCGTCAACTCCAGTAATCGAAGTTATGAGTCCATGAAGACAGACGATTTCCAGTGCTATAATCACAAGCCGCGCGGGAAAAAAAGTGGCAAGGAGGGATGAATGTGATAAGAGGTGTAAACCCGTAATGAGTTATAATTGCTGACTAAATAAAAAGATGAATCCATAAATTCGTAATTATATGAGCAACGTACACTGGCAACTATGCTAATGATACACGTTCTTTCTGGGCATATGATCATTATGTGAGCATAAATGATGCTAGTAGAATCATTCAATCACAGAAGTTTCAGAGAGACCAACCTGAACCGGACTGAGACTTATTTTCTTATCGCTTGAATTTTCTTCCGGTTTAACAAATAATAACGGATCAAACAGGGGCAGCGATGGTGGAATCTTTGGTTTTGGTGTTGATTTCGCATCCTTTTTGGCCACCAGCGATAGTAATCGGTCGAGCTCTTTGTCCGCATCAGCCAATTCTTTTTCACGACGCATTTTTATTTTTTCGCGAATTTTTGGTGTCACCATTTGCACAACTGGTGGAACACTGAAACAATGTCAGTTATGAAGAATATTAAAAATAATATGAATCGATCAATAACTCATGATTTATTTAAGTGCAAAACGAATTCCAGATTTGAGGAGTGGGAAATTTGTGAGCAATTAGTAAACGGTGTAGAAATGATGAGTTGCAACTGGTTTGCTCTGACGAGATGATAAGGGAATGAAAATACGAACCAGCTCGATGGTGGCGTTCTTTGTGCAGCTTTCGTATTGGTGTCAGCTGTGGTGGAGAAAGAGGATTGAGGGGGATCATTACTGAAGAGACGATTCATAATCGACGGGTCCATATCGAGCACTGAGTGCATCACATCTTTATCGGCTGCAGATGCAACACCGAATAGATCTATATCACCCAAGTCAATACTCGACCACGGCAAATCCTCCAAATTACCAGCGTCCAGTGCGTTCTCATGTGACGATCCCTGCACATTCACCAAACTTTTTCAAGGTACACAGCAAAATCCATTAAGCTAATACAAAAAATCTTCGCGAAATGAAAAATACAATAGATATGAAGAAAGAGCAAAATTACAGGAGTTTGCTGATCGTGCGCGAGCGTGAAATCCTGAACGATGTCAGTGGATGTTGTTGGAGCATTCACCACATCGCCTGATGTGCTCAGTAATGATGAAGAGGACGGTTCAACATGCATCGCAGACATGTGTTGATTCGCTGCTGTTAGGTCATAAGCTGATATTTGCTGTTGCTGTTGTACCGCAGCTACACTTCCTTGAGAGCCTGGAGTTGGTATTGACGAAGAGGAAGTCTGAAATTAGTAGGTGACCCGAATGTCTCATGCTCGAATATTTCCTCATCACTCATCTTAAGAAAATAAGAAATTTTCCATATCGCACTATATTATAGATTTATATCAAGTTTCCTGTAAGCTTGACGCAAATAATGAATCGATTTGTTGATGAACAACTGAATTCGTATAAATGATAATAGGAAACGACGATGATATGATATGATCACAGTGTTTTTAGAATATTTTAAAACAATTTTTAGAGCAACCTCTTTGATGAAATGATTTTGGAACTGAACAGATATAGCATGGAACAATACTTCCAAATGAAACAATTCACTTAACCAAAAAAAAGAGCACTTTCGCTGAGAGCACGTAAACGTAATGATATTCAGTTCAAAGTAGGCTTCAGATGATCACCACTTATTATTGAACATTAAGATAAGAACGTATTGGTTAGAAGAAAAACGCTAAAAATAATGGAAGGAATCAGTTATGCCGCATCACGTACCTCAACCGATGCCGGATGTGAGTGAGACGGATTGTTATGCAAATCAACAATTTGATACGCGCAACTCGCACTCTGCAGTGAATTTGGTCGAACGCTAGCAGTGGTCACACCAGTGATCTCTATGGAGTTTAGAGCAGAAACGGATGCTGGTTGATGAATAGCACTAGCCACTGGGCATTCAACAGAACCAATGTTGGAATGGATCGAAACAACTGAACTTGGTGCACCATGTGATGAGACTGCTGAGGAGGAACCTGGTCGTATGATCTCAGACGAAGTATGGCTTTGAATCGAACTCGGACGAGTCATATCCACCACGGTGATGCCGCTGGATGACATCTGCATATTTGCATCAATTGGTGACGATGAGATGGATTTTTTCAATGAGAGTGCGCTTGATTGCTGCATTCGCTGCGGTGTTGCCGATGATACTCCTAATGACACCTCACTTGATTGCTGTTGTTCTCTTGGGCTACATTCTTGTAAATTATTCATAAAATTTCCTCCTGAGTTTATTGGAAAGACACCTGAAAGAAAAAACACATTTTTTAAGACAAACCATTTGTAATAATATATTCCTTATTAGTCGAGTAAATCAATAAAAATTCCAACCACTAGAAATTGAGACTGGACATGTGTTCGATAGGAGAGCGGATGCATTGACGCTTTGCGATGAGCCTGATGTAGAACGCATTGGTGGTGTTAAAGCATTCGCATCAACTGGTGCCGTCATTTCACTGAATCACAATTTATTCACACATAACCAGAAATGCAACCATAATAAAGTTTACAGCGAAAAACAAAACCGTTTTGTAAATGATCTTCATTACGAAAAAAACTGATGTATATTAAGAAGTCGTTAATTCGTTAGAGAATGAATCTGATTTCACATGAAAGAAACTTACTGCTAAGTGAACAATAAAGAATTCATTCTCATAGCCATTCTATTCAAAAAGTTAAGCACAAGTTGAAAATTGACATTTTTTACCGAACACGCACGCAACATGACTAATTAGGAGAAATTGAATGCAACGAGACATACCCGGATTTGACACCACCAGCTGACAATACGCCGTACATTGGCAACATCGCAGCCACTTTTGCCTATGAGCGAACAAAAATCAAAACAAAACGAAAAACGAACATGACAAAATTCCGATCTCAACTCTGAATTTGAGTCCGACTTTAACATTCACTAATGTATTTATGATTGTTGGGCATTAAATGAAAGAAATTAGTTACCTGTTCAAACCAAGCAGCACTAGCGTTTTGTGCAGGCCAGCCCATAGTGGCGATATTATTGAACTCAGAAGCGAACTGTCCGCCGAGCGTTAACTGTGGAGTACTTGGGAGTAACGCTGCTGCACTGCCTGCGGCGGACAATCCTTGAAGATGATGCAACGTTGACATGAGCAAGGGATTTGATACATTGCCAGCTGGTGATGTTATTCCTCAAAATTCATTTGTAATTTGCACAAACCTATTTAGTGATTTTCGCATTTCACACATACTCCATTTTGTTGATTCTATACAGTAATCAGCAACCAATTCTATATTAACAAAATCAAATAAAACGCGATCATTCACCTAAAACTCTATGAATTAAGTGTTACCAAAAACACGTTACGTTGATTTTGATGAGAATAATTTCACAATAATTTATAGTGAAATGTATCGTGTGAATTGCTTCAGAAACGCTCTGCTGAAAGGTTCTTATATACCTTTCGGGAGTTTGTGCTGCTTGTTATCACTGCTTGTTTGTTTAAACAAATTTTGTAAGGGACAGTCTAGATTCTCCTTCTAATCCTTTGTACGCTATATTGATCGTACTATTTCTGAAAAATCTATGCGCGATAATAGTAAAGTGCAATATAGTAATATTGACTATAAGATAATAACCCTACAAACTGATGACGAAAAATCCATTTCTTCACGGGGTAAAAGTAAATCTGATAATGAGATCGCGTACGTTTTCCACCATTTAGGTACCATGTTTTACAAAATCTACTACATCAATGTTCAATATGCAGAATTTTTTCATCCGGTGTAGCGACCATTAAATGAGAAAAGTCTAATATGAATTCAAGAAGTGATAAATGAGAGAGAAAATTCTACACGCGCATTAGGGTGGTGCATTCACGTGTTCGATACACTTATGAAGAATAAAGACAGCAAAACCCTTGACGCTTCTTTTAAAACCCAGTGAAATGGGGCACTTTTCATTTTTTGAGGCAAATATTAAAATCACTGTTATTGGAAAGGAAAGGTTTTTATTCCTTGAACAAAGAATCTTTTTGATACGCCGTATTTTAAATCATCTTGACGTATGAGGAAAAAGTTTTCAGACTGATATTAATAAACCATGCCCAGTGGAATTCTTATGAATTAACCTCACAATTATAATCTTAACGCTCACGATTGCATTCAGATTGTCTGAACATGAAGTCCTTGTGATAAATTACACGATAATGAAAACAGCTTCATAAAAATAATCTATTTCTGTGATCAACATACACTACAAAGGCTAATACGTTATTGCACTTCGTTCCAAAAAAATGGAGTACATCCAAAATTCGTTCCAAAAAAGTTGATGTGCAATGATGCAAATGCAATAAAATAACCGAATGCTATTCAGATGAGATGAAGATATTTGTTCCAAATTAATAAAACGGCTATTGAAAGAAAAATATTGATTCACGTCAGAATGAAGTACCAACTGAACATGCTCGGCTACATAAATAATCCAAGCTACTATATTACGTCACGTCACGGAACTGTTTTTCAAAAGTGTGATAGTATTTTGGCAAACTAACAATTATGAAAATGACCGTTTTGATTGAGTGAGCAAAAAATTGTAATTAAAATACCTGTGAACGTTGATGCAAAGCTTGAGTTGGCGAAACCTGACGGAATTATCGGATGAGATGACGAGTTTTGCCTCTCCATAGATTAGGGCGCAAACACACATGAGTTCGGTGGTTTGGCACAATGGCTAGATAATTGACGTGATAATCGCGACGGGGTAACGAGGGCGCTTTGGGCGCCTAGCGAATTGGCCGAAAAAATCAGTGGATTATTGACGACGATTTCGATCGAGGGGGTTAGAAATGATTGAAAATGCAAAAATACGTCGCACACAACTGCTATTAAGAACACCCCCGGCCCTAGAGATGTGCGTTAGTTTACGCAGCAACACAAACAGAGAGCATTGCAAAACCAGAAACGCTCGCTGCGTACGCACGCCGTCGCACTACCCATCTAGATGTCTGCACTCTCATCTTTCATACATTTCTTCTGATTACTTTCATACACTGTCTCTGCTCATTTCAAGTACTATTACGCGTTTGTAAAGCATGAAAATCGATATTTACATTGCATTTTTTAGATGGTGTTCTATTTGAGTTTGTTTCTGATTCGTATGCGTTTCATTATTGTTTATTCTTACTGCTCTATACTTACATTAGCTGACTTGTTTTTATTTCTTTCATTTATTGCTGCTGCTGCTGCTGCTGCTTATCATTGCTGTTATTGCTTCAGTAGCCGCCACACATGCAAAAGCTGTTGCCAGAATCAGGCTCGATCTCGGGCTCAGGTTTCTGTGAAGATCAAGCCGAGCCTGGTGATTGAGCGCAGACTTACGCTCAATTTCACAAGGCACTAAAAATACACACGGACGAGTTTCTGGTTATGTCGTAGAACGTAAATCGAAACTAATGCAGTATATTGATTTGGTCATAATGTTTATTCGATATCATCTTTGTTGTCAAATTTTTTTGCCTTCCTGGTCATATGACCCTGAACGGTGCTGAGCGAAAAATTCATCATATTGGTTGTTAGTAGTGATGGTAACTGAACGAAGGTTGGGTTCGATCAGAATCCATTCTTTGAAGCTATGAAATTCCGTACTCCGATATGCGATCGAAGTTCAGAATTGTGAAATTTGAATTCGGAAAAATATTGAAGATCTAAAAAAGTTACGACCAAAATGCGATCGAAATCCGACCGAATTTCGGTCGGTTACCATCATTAATTATAGCGATGGCATCTGAAGAAAATTAGAGTTCTGTCGGAATCTGACCGAGTCGACTTTTCAGCATTCGGAAATTTGGTATTTCAACCAAGCTTCGCAATTCTTTGATCGGAATCCGAATCTCAGAAATACGAGCGAAATTCGTCGGATTTCACCGACTAGACTTCGGTCGGTTACCATCATTGATTTCGTATGCCGAGCGTTTTGGGTGCACACTATCCATATTTTCGGTCACTTTTTTTGCTAAAGAATTTCTGATCATGCATAAATTATCGGGCAAGGTTTATTTAGGTCACTGCAGCAGATGTTCGATTTCAGCCAGTCACTTGGAAAACGTCGAGCTTTCAGCAAGCAATTTAAAGGCTGTGAAATATCGGAACCCGTTCAGAATTTATCATTGAAATATCACCTATTGATGCATGAAAAAAACATTATTTCCGTGGTCAATTGCTCACGACGATAAGCACATTTTTTGGAGCGAAGTAATATTTGCAAAACCAGACTTTGGTCAAATTCAACTTTTTGATGTATACGAGCGTTGCTTTGATCTAGATTTGGGTACACTTCATTCTACAAACTTTAATGTATTGTTTTTGTGTTGCATTGTACCAAGCAGTAGAATGTTCTGCAGAGCAATCTGTCTTCCTTCAAATTAGTACATGCACCAAAATTTGCTGCGTGACACTCTTTCAGTGTTTTTGTAGAAGTTCTTTGTATTTCCTTTCACTGTATGAATTCATAGCGTTCCTACGATAGCTTTTCATGACACTTCTTTGAGTCCTTCCATTTCTGCATTTTTCAGAAAAAGACCTGCTCGAGAGTCTATAAAATGCCTGCCCCTATGATTTTTCAAGGAGAGTGTGGGTTGGAGAGGTTGTTTTAACATGGACGACCTGTGCTGTAGGAAGTACGGGAATGAGCGTCTCGTTTCTAGAAGAATTTTATAATTTAATGATGAGTATGAAAAATTATTCATTTTTTGAGCATTTGAAGTCATTTTTAGTGTCCTAAACATACATTTTTATTGCTCACTGCTGATGAAACCAGAAACTATTGAAATGCTGGTGCAGCATCAGTTAAGGTCGGCACGGGCGAGAAAACAAATCACACATCCATCTCCATCCAGTACGTTGCTCCACATGGGATATCTTCCCGTCCCTTAATCACTTTGAAATGAAGTCTCAGTCACTGATTGCGGTCTACTCGCTCCCCTTCCTCTCCCTCTTTGAGCTTAAAAAAAATTCTGAGGACCTCCTGCATCAGTTTTTTTCTTATAGCGAAGAAAATTCTTCGTTGAAATGTTCCTGTAATTAGACGAGGATTTTGTCCTTCGCTGCATTTTTTTTTGCCTTCATTGTTTGGGAAGTTAAGTGAGATCAGTTGGTGAATGCGATAAACAAACAATTATCTACTCAAAAATTTCTGTTCACTGCGGTAATGTTAGTCACTGTTCGTGAACTATAAGCGGTTTGTTGTATCAGTGTTCGTGTTCGAAAGCGAATAATTTTCATGAAATGATGGTGTTCGATTGCGATGGCTAATGTGCTCTGTAGGATGCTAAATGCTGTTAATGATAGTTCGATTAGTGTGACGTTATGTTTATGATTTTGAACACAGTCGAGCAACAATGTTTACTTATTTGCAACTGTTAATCATGCCTGTTTCAGATGTGGAATGATGCTCATGAAAGTCATCTATCATATCGCATATCAAATGGATTGTGAAATCGAATAAATTTTTTTGAAAATTATGTGATCAATGTAACAAACAGCGAAGTAGTAATTTTGTTGTTTTTTTGTTCTCGTTATTCATCATGTTAGTTAGCATCGTTTTTGTATATTTCTAGAAGCACAGAAGATTGTTTCACATTTGTCATAAATTAGCTGCCTATATCATCATTCTTGTAAAATCTGCAGTCATATTTCAGTGCGATTTAAACAGTCTGATTGTTATGACGGAAACGTTAAACGATGGTCAATAATCATTTCGTACAAACTGCATTCATTTTTCGATGCTGCGAAACATATTGATTGATTTTGTTTACAGTATCACTGCCCAACAAAAATTAACCTTCTTCAAACTGGTTTATAAATATGAGAAATTAGGTCACGAAGGTTTTTTGCCGAGATCGCGAAAATGAAATTTAATTTTTATTTTTGTGAACGGAGTTTATGCAAAATTTTGGTTATAATTTTCCATCACTGCGAAAATATACATTTATAAATCGATACTGCCCAACAGTAGCTGTTTCATCGGTTTTGGGTCAGTTTTTTGCACCAATTCCAAATATGTACTTCTTTTGCATCTCCTCGTTCACGGCTCTGTTATAGTATCAAAATGTTCATCCTTAAAGGGTTATCACCGTTCACAACATGATAATTTGGATTTGTTTTTGTTTTTGATTAGTTTCTTTTACGACTCTGGATTAGGGTGTCGCTCTGACTGCGAATATGTAGACCATTACCTCATGTCACTGTTTATAGTTGAGAAATCCTCGTTCACAACACTACGATCAAGTGATGGTACTGAAGTAGCTATTTTATTGATGTCATAATGAGTTAATGTATGAGGGTATATAGTAGGGGATTGAACTTCTTGTTTTGTTGAAGGATGTTTACAAAAAGTTTTATATCCGTCCAGTTTTCAGTGTGGAAATGATCTCTCAATAATCACTTTATTGACTGAAAAATTTAATCCTTTTCGGAAAATCACTTTTCAACCAATTCGATCCGTTCAGTTCAGGAATCTGTTTCTTTCTCAAAACTTTTTGCCCAAAAAATTTCTTGATGTTTTCACTTGAAATTTCTTGAGTTTTTTTTTTCAAAATTTTTCAAGCAATTCGTTCAACATTATTAATTGTTCTATGACGACAATTCATTAATTTTTTGAAACACATCTACAGATATATTGTTACTTTTATTATTGTTAACAATCCATTAATTTTTGGAACTGTTGATAAAGTTTTCATTAATTGACATCGTTTGTTCTACTTCGAAGAATGAGAAGTAATTCTGGTTTCGAAACTTTGTTGAGTCTTTTGAAAAGGATCAATGCTAAGGAATATCTGGATTCATAATAGTTTTAAAAACGGATTTTTCCGTCTCATCTCTTCTCGTCTCAGACATTCGAGACGGAGGTTGGCCATTCCTTCATGTATTGTCTCGTTTCGGAATTGTTGCGAGAAGCAGACCATTACTTTCGTAACATTGATTACGACTACATATATGATGAATGCTGTTCGTATAAATGCTGGATGAAACACTAAATAAGAGCGAAGAAAACGTAGCAAACCATCAATGAGTTTTAGCATCTTTCTGATTGGAACTGTGGAAAACAAAGAAAATTAATGATAATTTCCAATACAGAAACGGTGTTGCAGTTTTCAGAATCAGAGTAGGTAGGTGGAACATGGAGAATTGAAAATTCAATGGCATTCACGTTTGATGTTATGTCAATTTTGAGTAAAGGTCAATAGTGATATAACCAATAATAACAAGAAAAATGACTGTTTTTCAAAAACCCCTACAAACACTACATATGCGCATGCACTGCACAATAGTGATGGCGTCTGACCGACGATTAGTCTGAAAAACCCGACAAATTTCGGTTGGAACTCCGACTGTCGGAATGTGAACTCGGTCGGATTCTGATCGACATGAAATTTCGTTCGGATGCCATCACGGTCATAAAATATGTGTACGTCGCAGTTGGCAACATTTTAAGGTTCGCATTCATGTGTTAATTTCTTTGAAATTCGGAAGTTTTCATTTGGAATCCGATGAAAAACGAAATAATTGCGTGAGAAATAGAGTTCATATTGTTATGTGCTTGAAAAAACAGCTCTACTGTAGTGCTTTCTTGTTGTTCGCAGATTAGTCACTGTTGGACGGTATCGATATTTAAATATTTTTGGATTGGTGCAAAAATTCCAGATGGATTTTGCAACAAATCCATCCACAAAAATGGAAAATGAATTTCATTTCTGCAGTCTCTACTCAAAGCTGACCTATATCCTTATATTTATGTAGCGGTTAAAATTTTTTGTTCATTAATAATTGATTGGCCGCTATAAAGTAAACCACTTTCTGTCAGTGGATCAGTTTGAAATTTTAAACGTTTCGCTTCATTTTCAACTGCAGTGATACAGTTAGTTGCCATCTGTGAAATGAACTTTAAGATGGAATGATTGGTTGATAAATGCAAGATTATGTCTGTTCTATTAATTTTCCTTCAGAACTAATCGTACCCGTTGTATGTCATCGCCGCATTCAACATTTCAAAAAGAGTTGATGATTATTGTCTCATTGAATTATCATTTATTATCGTTGAATCCGAACGATACCATCTTTATATTTCTGGAAGGAAATCTTTTCTCCAAATTCGCTTGTATTCGACGAGATGATTCAATGATAGTTTTACAGAGTTGCACGGAATATTCAAGCGTTCAGTAATGCTTTTCGGCGATAATGACCCAAGTCAAAATCACGTTTTCCAAACGCATGAACATATTTTGAATAAATGAACAAAAGCACTTTTAAAAACAGGAATATTTGATCCATTTTGTAAATTCGCATGCGGGAAAAATGATCTTTGAAATGCAGTTTCACTTCAATTTACATGCTCAAATGAGAGTAGTTAAAAACTTAGAACTAATTAGTGTGACATCATCATTTTCAGAATTGAACTTTGTAATTTAGTTCCACACAAAATTATCTCCACCATGCAATTACGCTCACAACGATTATCCTTACGTTTCATCAAGCATAAATCATTCATATGTCAACATCATAGCTGATTTTCTCAGTACGCAAACCAATATTTGCAACGCAATCGCATCGTGTTCAAACGAGCAATATACTTGCAATGGCAAAGCAGTATTACAAATGAATTTCCATGCAAATATTTTGCAGCGATCGCTTGCGGTTATGACCACACACGATGCAAATGCACAGCTTTTGATAACCGCACTGAACCATACGACAAATTGCATCTGCCCTCGGCTTCCTCTTCAAATAATGCACTGACAAAAACATTATTGTTGGAGTTAGTGCTGAATCATGCGAAAATAAATGATACATTGATTCGGTGAACGTTTCTTTGCGGTGTGAAAAACAGAATTGGAGAAAATTGAGGAATACCATTCGTCTGTTTATTTAATACTAAATGGATTCACTACGACATTTTATGTTCGTTTTGTTCGTCATATCCTTCTGAATCAGTTTGACTGGTGGGAGAGGCCTAGTCTGTGAATTTCTAGGTTGCCCAATCAGCTTGCAGTGCAAAATGAAACGTCGTTGGGTTGATCGATTATAATTTTTCGTGTCACAGAAAGTCTTGTAATGACACTGTGATCGCAATGATGCGATTATTCATTCCAGTGATAACGTGAGTGAAAAGTCGATGTAGAAATGACACGATCGGCTGTTTATGTTGTGCAGAATCAACCAATTGGAAAACCGCGTAAATCGACATATCAGGATTTTAATAATGGATTTAGTGAAATGCAGGTATTTAAGTAGATCGTTTTACTGTAGAAAAGCTTCATTGTTCATGTCATTGTTGATCGTTTTTCAACAATTGTTCGCATTTTGAGGGTTTTAGTTCAGTCTTCAAAAAATTGGATCCCTCGAGTAACTACCGTGTGTTGTTCATCAAGGCACGCATCTTTCAAAGTTCATGAATTGAGTTCAAGCGTGAACTGGATGAATAGAAATCACTATGTTTTCCTGGGCAAATTGAATACTCACTCATTGTACTGGGCCACCAGCCATTCCACTTATCTCATGCGCACTGCTAGAAACATCACTACTTAAACAAAACCCGAAATAAATCTAAGTTGATTTCAATCAAAACCTGGATTGATCTCCAGATAAACTTCCACCAAACTGAGCTTGAAAGTAATCCAACAGCAACTGAGAGATGAAGTTAAGTCTATTTAAACTACTCCGGGTGTTGCGACGGGCGTTTTTGATATGGAAGGTTTTAGCCTAACATACACCTTTCACATCATCTCTCAAATCAGCTCCAATCAAATCACCTAAGTGTAATTATGCTTTCGATGAATTACATCTGATTTTGCAATAAGCTTCCTTGCGAACCTTCTTTGCTTCTTGAAGTTGTGTCCTTTGAAACATCAATTTTGCCTAAAGCTTTGTAAATCCGTTCATTGCAGTATAGTATACCGGCCAGTAAAATTCCATGGAAGGCTCTCTTACTCGCTGGTGTTCTTTTCGTGATTGGCCTTATTCTCATACTGTCAAGCCTTCTTATGTTCAGTGGCATTGTGGAAACATCGGTAGTTCATTTCTTTCATTTTCTTTGTAAAATGGCAATCTTTATTAGTCGGCTAACTAATATGTTCACATTTAATGTTTACCGTCAGTGAACAAAACAATTGAAATGGATCTATACGAGCATCTTGTAACACATTAACAAGCAGTCATTTTATGAAATTCAGTTTATTGCATCTTTAGTCTGTGCTGTCGACTTCACATAAGTTTTCGGGAAATGAAGCCGATTCAACAGTTTTTTTCGATCTGAATATTCGTCAATGTCAAATCATTGACTGACGATGGGAACATTTAAAGATTAGCTGCACAGACAAATAGATTGTTCACATTTTCGTTCTTTCTTGAAGCAATCGTTTGATCGCTCGTTCCTTACGATTAGCTCACCTACCATCGTAATGAATCCAATTTTTTCTGTGAAATAAGGTGATTTCGTGAAATATGAAACTGATATTTTTCCTACAGTGTCCGAATTTTGGTCCTACATTCACATGATAATTTTAATCGTAATCTGGTTTTCTGCAAAGTTTGTTGTTCTTTCAACGTTCCTCAGTTTTCATTCTGTTTTTTTTTTTCAACAATTGAATCGAATTCATATGTGATCATCGAATAGAACAGGAACTGAAGCTAAAATGTATGCATACACTTTAGTTGATTGATCTAACATTATTCATAATCTGTTCAAGATTTCTTTTGATAATGTTATGATACATTCAGCATCGTGATCGTATTTTGCCAATACTTGTGCTTGGAGTGATTATGTTCATACCGGGTGCATATCATGTACGTATTGCATATCATGCCTTCAAAGGTGACAGAGGTTTTTCATTCGATGACATTCCAGATTTTGACTGAATTCTGTTTTCGAATATTAATCGCGAACGATTGCTCCTAACGATCTCAAAAATGTCATTTTGTTCTATCGTTTTGCATTTTTTCTGTTCATTTTCTTCGCTCACTATTGTGATAGTATGTAAATAGTACGTTACTTCCGTTTCTAAAATCTTTGTGTTGATTTTGCGTTTAGATATTATCGGATATATTTATTACTCGAAATCAATTGCAATGAAATATCGAACGAAAAAAGCAAACCTTTACATACTGAATTTATAATAAGAGCGTATCACTGGTGAATGTCCATTAAATGACTCGATAAGTCAGATTTAAATCACATTTTGTGACAAATGTATTTTCATGAAAGTCTGAATGTCCGAAACTTACGTGAAGCTTATATCACCTTTTTTCTTCTTAAAACATACATTCCTATCACGTATTTTCTCTATTCAGTTCCTTAATTCTACATTAATGGGTGATGTTTACGGACTATGTCTTATTTGAAGATGAACCGTATTGTGCAGTAATTAATGCCCAGCACTGAAAGTCGTTAATATGAGATGCACAGTATAATCGTGCAACAAAAATAGAATTGATGTTTAACAATTTGGAATTCAACGATGGTTTTTGATATTTCATATTAGCTGGTGAATGTCGCTCGCACAACAATAGACTGAGAAGTGAGTAAAGAATTAATGTGATATGAACGAAAAAACCTATCGTTTACGAGCTTTAATTCAATTCAGACATTGATTCATTTGGTTGTGAGATGACTAGAAGTCAATTGGTATTCACTAGACCGAAGACTACTAGAAGGTTCGTATTACTAGAAGATGTTTGGGAATTTTCGCACGAGTCTGTAAGATATGAAAAGTTTTATAGAACATGTTTGCATTGTATTTTTGATTTGTTTCAGTCTTTAAACGCATTCTTGGTGCTGCCTTCTGTTAACGCCTTTCACACATAAATGCATTTTTCAAAAGAGATTGGAAACGAATAAAAAGGGGCGAGCGTTCATCACAGACAATGTCGTCAAACGGAATGCGCTGTTTCGATCGCATTTTTGAACCTCTCGTCACTGCTGAGGAAGTAGCTGAATCAAAACGGAATTGATCCTTTTGGAACCGATTCCCTAGCATCATTTTGAAAGAGTCCCATAGATCATATAGCTATATAACAGATTTATGGTACAACATATAAATTACTATGAGGTCAGTCCATACGACTGCTGCAATAAAAAATTTTGCACTGGCTCTGTAGGAATTCTGAACTCACATTACTAGGAGACCGTATAAATATCGAAAAAGATGAATTCTTATTCAAGCGTACCAACGACCAGCATTTCATGATTTGACCGCCTAAACTCTTTTAAGAAATATGTTTACAATCATCTTTTTGCTGCATTAAAAGCTAAGCACTGTACGGGAAGTGTCTGGAATGAAGATAACTTTCAAATTTCGACGGTTACAGCGAACCATCAAATACCCAATGCAACGGAGAAAATCTTTCCTGGGAACGGGTCGACAGTGACTGACTGACAGCCATGAAACACTCAACTGTGATGACATAAAACTATGCATGATGGGGGATTATTAGCGCATCGCTCTTGAGAGGCAAAATCACGGGCCTTCAGCCGTGAATAGTATCATAAAATTTTGGTATCGTTTATAACCTTCCTTGGTGGCATGAAACAGATGGGTAGAGACCAGCGCATGTAAACTTTTATTCTCCGTATATTTTTAGATCGTTCTATCAAACGGCTTTCGTTTCCGGTCTTGATTTCCTTTATGTGATACATTGGAACGTTTTTTCTTTTGCTAAAATTATCAATTCGTTTTGTTTATTTTCTATTACGTCATTGCACGCATATATGTTCATTCCTGTCAAGAAATATTTTAATGATATTCAAGTGATATTTTAAACTGTGAACGATAATGTATTGTTGAAAAGGCCTAAACGCATCGCTGTTTAATGTTCCAAGTGAAGATCTTTGTTGGTTTAGAACTGAAATTTCTAGAGTCGTTAATAGTGTAATCCACCTTCACTGATCTACATCCATTATTTTTAATTTAGTACATTTCAGTGAGACAAACATTCTTTTCAATTTTGGTAACGGTAATAAAGAAACAAGTCTTACCATTGAATTTTACCCATATATGATTTTGTTATCAACTGGTGTTTGATAGCACGTGAAAATGTTTCATTGAAACGAATTCGTAATTTCCTTCCGAATAACTTGAGTGATTGATCTTTTTTTCTTGTAAAACTGATTTGTATTTGTGTAAATACGAGTGAAATAAATAAATTCTTGTCAACATGTGTATGTCCATTTATTCACTGTGGTTTCAGTATAATCAAATAAGCAAATTTGCATTGTAAACGTATACGTTTGCGATAAGAAGAAGAGTATTAAAAAAAACTGCTTAAGTCAACATGAGAAATGTGTTGCACAGTATGGGCTTTACGAATTAAACGAGCAAACTATCATCAAATCAATTGCCATCTTTATAACGTCACTACGAATCAATAGTTGATTTGTGAAACTTTCGTTTAGTTCTTGTTTGACGGACGGTCATCACTGATCTTGTTCATTTGTTGATACACGGACACGAACAACGCAAACAAATGAGTTTAGGTTGGTATGAAATACGTGTTTTCATTCTTATATTTATATCTTCATTACTGGATGCAAATGATTTGAATTGGTTTTTTTTGTATAAATTCAGGTTTCATATCAATAATTTCGCTTACCTCAAACACGGTTTGAATGGTTTTTGACTTCTTTACTTGCACTGAGTGCAGTTGAATCTTGTTGAGCTGAATAGATTTGCAAATGGGATTGAATGAAATTGACGTTTTAATGTTGCTTTCAGAAAAAAACATGAAATGCTCCAAAAAGTTTTGTTTTTTTCCTTATGAGAATGCTAATATTATTTTTATTTATGTTGTTGTTTATTTGTTTATTGTTCATTTACTGTTCTTGTTTAGTTATTCGTCATTCTCGAATCAATGATTAAGATCAAAGAAAAAAATTATCTTCCTTTTTCATTTTTGCCCTTTTCTTTATTAAATCGCTCAGAGTTCATCTGAACTGACTCCTCCATTCTTGAAAGATATTTTCATGAGATAACTGATGTATGTAAATTGATTGTTGATGACTTTGAAATAATTTATTTTCAAGTTATTAACTGAAAAATTTTCCAGAGAATAATAATGTGACGATAAGTGAACCAAATTCCTCAAAGATAAGTGTTATTGCTAAGAGACAACTCGCTATCGGTAGCAACGTAAGTTCATATTTTGTGTTATTTAGTATGTTATGTTGGGAATTTTCCTTATTATCTTACTGAATATGTGTTAAATGTCAAGAATTTAAGCGTTGCAATCTAATGATTTGAATGTTTGATGAGAACCATCCATATGTATATTTCATCAAATTGGGATTAATTCGGAGGTGTTTGCTGATTGTTTTTCGTGATGTTAAACAGGCGTTCTCTCGTTCAGTTACGGAACTGAATATGATTGAATGAGTGGTGCTTGAGAAGAAAATTTGTTTTGCTCTCAGTTCATAGATCTTGCAATGTGCTAAGAAGAGTGAGTGCGTTTCCAAGGCACAGCTCTCTATAAAAACCTGATGTTCAAAATGGGACCAGTCATTAAAGAACATTTCTGAAATATACTAATAATGTTCTTCTATATTTACCATGATTATGGGTATTAGCGAGAAAAATATCTGAACATGCAAAAAAACGATTAAAAAAATCCACTTGTTAAATAAGATGTCATCTGAACTGATATTATAATCACTGCAAAATTCAAGGTTGGTTATGTCGCCGATGTAACACTTATATTACCGTATCAGAGGATTGTCTCGCAGTATGGTCAGCATAAGAATATTCGTAAAGTTGTGATTGGTGGTGAGCAAGAGAACTCCATCGGGGATCGGGTAGTACATTAATTAACAGTCGTTCTGTTCAACTGATCCGAAAACATTCTTCAATCATAATCAACTAATCACGAATTCTTTTTTTTTCAAAACCGAATTGAGCTGCCGAAAAAATCTTTTTCGTGTTTTCGAAATGTTTTGATGGTATGATTGAAATAATAAAGGAACAGTGGGATAACTTCAATTTCCATTCATTGCTCCAAAGTTATTGTTATTGTTCCTTCATTGTCAGTGCAGCACTGAGGTTGCGTAATATCTCAAAAAAATGAAATTTGATGTAGTTATCGTTTTCTTTTTTTTCGGAATATTTGGAACGCGTTCACTCTAGATGAAATTAATTCGTCGCATCGCTTCGATGATTCTTTATTGAAGCAGTTTTTTTGAATCAGTGTTTCAGAGAAGATTTGCCACATAGTTTAATCAGAATATAACGATAGAAATATATTCATTCGTCGGAATAGAACTGTTATAGCATTTAAGAATATCTCTTAGCCAATAACTGTTTACTGCATCAATTAACATTTCAATTTCATATCAGGTGATCTTATTGTTTGGCTCAAAAGGAGCTGGGAAAACGAGTGTTATCGATAGTATGCTCAATTTTTTGTACGATGTAAAACGAGAAAATAATTTCAGGTACACTGCATGTCATTTCAAACTCATTTCACAATCAAACATTTTTGGTTACTTTTGACTTAGAACATTATCGATTGCATTCCTTTAGTAGCACTACTTTATAAGAACTGAAAATTAACTACCGAAATTCAATTCTTAGCTCTTTATAAAATCCATTGAAACCATCAAGGATACGAACTTTTCATCTGATTTCATACAGAACAGCTTGAAATTTTCCTTTTTGCAAGCCCTCGTTGTGTATGATAGAGTCTTAGTGGAACACTTTTGTGGCATCACCGATTTGCTCTCAAATTTCATAAATTTCCCCAAACCTTTGTTTTTCTCAACATTTCTTGTTATAATTACAATGTCATGCTCCTCCAACAAATTCATGCCGTTCAACAATATGACAATCAATAATCTGTCAAGCAATTGTTGTTTGAAACAATTTGGAATAAAAAATCAATTCTTCTAAATATATGTTTCCAAAATTTGTCATTCTTGAATGCAAGTCCTTCTGATCGAAAACACTCCTGTTTTGTTCCTCAAACAATCAATCTGTCAAGTTACAATTACTGGCGAACTCGATGAATCGCTTAAAGAACCATTGAAGTGTACACATATATAAATAAAATTCAGGTTCACTTTACGAGCCGAAAACGGCGCACCTACAGTGATATTAACTGAATATGTAATCAACAACAGTATTTTACCGTTTAGTATTGCGATTGTGGATACACCAGGCGTTATTGATGAGAATGGCTACAAGGGCACATCAACGATCATTAGAGAGTGGTTTGAAGAAGTTCGTTAAAGTTTATTATTTGCTAAACTTTTGATTGTTGATGATGAATACGACGATACTGCCGTGTAAAGGCGAGAGGGGATTTAATGCTCGATATGATAAGTCAATGAGCTAGCAACGCATATGAATAATCACAAGTTTAAGAATAAAGGTGTCAAGTTAGATCACAACCCAAGATAGCATTGAAGGTGATCCGTGCTCTATAATTTTATCGTGAGCTTAGATATGAGAACAGTTTTATCATAGCTCAATATTTATCCGCATGATCGATTATTATTTTTTGCACCGTTTTTATGTGTGAAGTTCACATGGAACGATTCCGAAATTGAAATTTCTGAATAGGTAAGGTGAAACCGATTGTTATGCTGCATTGCAAGTGAGACGGGTAAGGTGTTCACAGAAACTGATCCAGGAATTATCAACAACAGGCCGTTTTCGACTTGATGTGATAAGTTTGGTTTTGAAAAGTGATGAAGAAGAGTTAGGATGGCCATATATTCGTGAACTAGCAGAAGTGAAACGAATGTTTGGAGACGATCTGAAAACAAACGTACTACCAATTGTTACTCATACTGAGGTCAGTAGTTTTTCCTCAATAAATTGCACATATTTTGCATTTTATGTGTTCTCCTCCTATCAGTAGAATGATGAAATTCGAATGATATTTTCTCATGTAAAAGTTTCCGATGAAACAAATCATCTACTATTGATGAGTTGAAAATGTCGATTTTTTTGCTGGATTATCTAATTGTCTGTTTCAGTTTCTGAGACAGCTCATTGCCTAATTGCCAGCTGTTATCAGTTAGATGCTCATTGAGCAACCCTAGATGCTTGTGCAAAAATCGCTGTCTAGTCGCGATTCAGATTTCAGGTACTACCGCAACCGCTTGCAGTTCATGCGTTGGCTTATGCAAATGTGACATTCTTGGAGTATTATAAAATTAATAACGTTGCATTCATTCCATCATCAAGCACTATTATGAATAAGGCAAAACTGAAGCGTCTTTTCATCGATGGCAACACATCATTAAATCGATACTTCACGGTTATGAATTGTTGCTTCATTCAGCAACCTTGTGCTATGAATCATGATAATTGACATCGATCACCTAGTCGTAAAAGCAGTTCAAATTTAATCAAAAATAAATTTCTTGTTACTTTTCAAAGCTGCTGTAGATTTCGTTTGATCAACGGATATGTAGTGTAAGATTTCAGGATTTGCAAGATTTGTCAGTGCCAATGATTTTGGCCATGAACTCGTCGGATACTTCATCCGAAACAACGGTACCGTCAACAAAATCTTCATGAGTGCTTAGCCATGGATTTTTGCTTGTTTACTGCCATTTTTAGCATTTAAAATTACCATGTCACAATAACCATCCTGCAATTTGTATATGTTTTGTTTAAAGTTACATCAGTTGCAATGAAAAACCTTTCGATATGTATGTAATATGTTTTTTAGTGCAATTGCTTATAATGTTACAAACCTCGAATTTATTTGCGTAAACGAATCTACGTTCTTCAATTCCTAGCAAGGAAACAAACAACAAATGATTTGTTTGAGCATTCTTTTTTCACCTTCGAAAATTGCAAACGATTTTAATGGCACCTACATTTAGTTAGCTCAAGCATTTCAAAAAATAGCTTGTGCATTTCTGTTGGTTCGTTTTGAAAGTGAATCTTTCGGTTTATTGCGTTATTTAAATGCGTACATTGATAAAGATTCATCACTTGGTTGTGCTGTTTTGCATTTTGTTTGACGCAGTTAACATTCTTGTGTTATGTTCGTTCGCCTCAAATGTTGCCAAAGATATTCGCTATCGAAATTCAGCAATCTGAAAGCATCAACTTCGCACACCGACCTTACATACCTGCCATACTTGGTGCAATTCTACTTGCTTGAATTGTTTATCTGCGAAAATTCGAATTGATGTGGGCGTAAAACAACTTCACAGATCGGTTACTGAATCAGAAAACAGAATTATTTTAAAAAAGCACCGTATACGACGGACTTTGGCATTGGTTTCTTTTATTGAGGCGGACAAAGGAAATCAAATATATAAATTTTATGGTCTATCAACATGAAATCTGAAAATTCATCATGAAGTTTTTCGAAAGCATGAACATTGCTCATAAATGAAATAAAAGAACAATAAAGAGTACAGAAAGGCGTTGAACGAAATAATGAAGTAGGATTTGGAAAGAGTATGATAACATTGACAGTGAAAAAGGAGAAATGTGATCGTAAGTGCACTTTAATAATGCTATCATCAAACGTGTCATATCTTATCAAAGTTCGTCTGGTAACGTTGACGTTTCGAACGGTTACCGCTCGAAAAACAGATTAATTTTTTTTTGCTGAAAAAGTTTATTTCCATTCAGAATGTACGCTTTTGAAACTCTTTAACAAACGCACATATTATTGGCGATTTTGAGCGATCGATCAAACATTAGATTTGATGAAAAGTAAAACGTTAAGAAGCTCCGATCTTCAAATTTTAATATTCAACTGATTAATGGTCATGCTTAGTAATAGTCTCTTGAAACAGTTGTAACCTAATGATGATTCAATCTTCTAATGAGTTTTATCCAGATGTTTGGAAGATTCTTTCACCTTGTGTGGGATGAAAATTTTGGTTGTTCATCGTCTTCAACAGTTGATGATGAGATTTTGGTGAGTTTCGGCATCAGTTTCGCGTAACGTCATTACAAGCGAGACAGTATTGTGGTGGAACCACATGTAAGTGCTAACAATGAATGAATCAGAACAGGTATAACAATTTGATCAGAACCAACGAAAGAATCGAGAATGATAATAATAATGGTGGAGTGATCAGCATCGATAATCCCTGAACATTCTTTCCGACTGCTTCAATTCCTTAAGCGTGCCAACTACGGCTACTCCAATCGTCTTCTGCACTATTCTTTTCTCTTGCATCAGCAACAAGTGATAGACCCATTTTTGCATGTACATCATGTGCATTTATAGGTGTGCTTTCTATCTTAAAGTGTTATCACCATTATTATCACTATCATATTTTATGTGATATAGCAACAATTGTGTGTTGATATTCGATTATCAAACCTTATCGTGCTTCAAACGGTTGCCAGTGATGTGATAGTTTCAATCTAATTTTAGCACTTTTCTGAATGCTTTTAAAGTGATAGTTTTGCTAATTATATTTGTTCGATCCTATTTGTGCCCCAATCTAGTACAGTATTGAATAGCTCAGTCATTTCTAAACCTGTACTATCAACTCAGTTTCAATTTTGCATCAATGTATATGTCATTTACAAATGTTTCAAGATTTAGGTCACATTAATTGCATGATTCAAGTGAGTTGTTGCGAAAAACCGAAAAAGCACAGAACGCTCGAGATGAAAAGGTTTCAAATTCATACTCTGAAAATTGATAAGATTTGTTATAAGATTAAATTGATAGATTGGAGGGCACCGATTCGATTTCAGCTTGTTGAATTGTGTTCACATGATGCTGTGACTGGAAACTGCTATCAATATCTTAAATTGCTATGTGATTATTTTTATGACTATTTTCCCTGTGTCTTATAATACTCATCGTACTCTTCTATTGATATGTTGTACTTGAAATGCTTTGTTCATTTCCATGTTTGAACGATGCTGAAAGTCGATCAAATCTCATTGTAAAGCAAATGATAATAAATCAAGCGTTATTCAGTCATCGAACGCGAAACATTTTCAAAGCACACAGTTTCTGCTAAGAACACACCAATAAATTACGAGAAGTTATCACTCATTTTTCAATTTCTAAAAAGACACAGCTTTTTCATCGTTAACTGCAGTGATGTTCCATTAATGAACTGACTATAAAATCGCAATGTTCATGCGAAATGTCAGCAAACTGTGATACTGAAATGAAATCGAGCATCTGAATTAGAATTAGAATTGAATTTTCATAACGTCCGGAATTAAGATCGAGCAGTTTCGTTTTGCATTTTTGATATATATATATATATATATATAAATATATGAGTTCGAAATGAAACTTTACGATTAAACTAAGAATCTTCGCCGTGGAAGAGTATCACTGTTGCTATATTGGTTAAAGATGACTTTTTCCTTTCCTTAGTTTTATGATCATATCAAACATAGCACTGATAACATGGCTGATCATCTTAAAGAGCATTCAATAATCTTCAGTCTTCATGTTCACTTACTGATGCTTCGAAAAAACTTCCTTGTGGAATGTTTCGTATTGTTAACAAGCGATAGTCTAAATGATATTCGAATGTTTCGCGTTGAAATTACAGATCAGTCTAAGATTAAAAGTAAACTGGCACCTGACCTTCAAAAAGATTGCTTCTGAAATCTTCATTCATTTGCCAGTTGTTTAATCTCACTGTGCAAGCATACTTATACTCCTACCTTCGGTGCACTACATATCTGGCAGTTGATTTTCGTTGCTAGATTCGATGTTAAATTATTCTGGAAATAGAATCATGGCACTGGGAAAGACTGATTTCGTGCCAATGCATTCTCATTTCCACTTCTATTTTCACCAGTACTTACATATACCTCACCTATATCTGGTTGAACACGTTTGTTTTGATGTCCAATAGAATTTGATAAACAGAACGAAAATATTGAGAATTCGGTCTGAAAACGCGTGGATCGCCCAATTTCTATGATAACTAATATCCTCTCCAGACGAATGTGGTGACAGCCCACGCTGAATAATTTATATTTTATATTAATACTGAAAACCAGCAACCGAAAAATGAATCTTTATTTGTTTATTCAAGGGATCGTCACCATTTCAACGTTTAACGTTATTATCATCAGAACGAGTACGAAAGGCTAAAGCATGGAATATTCACCTATATCTGAATAGCTGGTGCGCACATTCCCCAAGTTTCATCCGGTCTTGACGATGCTGGTGAACGCTGAAATGGTGCCGATCCTTTCAACAAATGAATAAATAAATAGTTCCGTTACGGTTATCGTTATTATACATCAAATAATCATCAGCATGCGACGCGGTCCATGCAAAAATCAGCGCTGTGTTGCTACAATAGATATAATGCGATTAAACCAAACGATGATATTCGACTCAAAGGAGATTTTTTTCCAATTACTTAAAAGTTCGAATAATTTCAGGTATCATCATCTCGAGATGGCTGCGAATGATGGTTGGTTTTTCATTTCCACTATCAAGCGAATTCAGAATCAAGGATGCATTCATTAGGATGAACAAAACGAGCATTTTTTTTTTCATAGGACAGCGCTGAATACTGTTCACTGATAATACTTCAAATAACTAATTTTCAATTCATAATGGTGGCACATGTGCACCGTAAGTTATCTCATATGAAAGTAAGAGACAATCTCCGAGGAATTATGCGCAGAGGCGTTTTTGCAGATTTGATGGATCTAATCTTTTCGGCACCCATAAGTCTACCTGAAGTGAAAGGAAGAAGCACATCTAAACAAGATGAAACTGCCGAAGGTGAGATTCAACTAAGCGGTAGAATTGAAGATCCTTCTTAATCATAACTGTAATCAATTCAATAAAGGCATTGAGATCAGATACAATGCGATTCAAACACAGTTTAAAAGAAACTTAGTTCATTTGCACAAGAATGGTAATGAGCTCAAAGTGTAAGCATTTATTGGATTGCAGAAAGTATTTATTTTTAAACTGCAAACACCTTCATCAACATATGCAAGTATGTTAAGAAATGCGTTTGCTGATTGAGCTTTCAGAAAATTATTTGAAGCAATATTTGTTTCTATTTCAGGAAAGGGTAGTGAACATTCTGAAAAAGAAGGAAGCGTGAGGAAAAGTGAGGAAGGAAGTGATGCTAATTTACAAGATGCTGATGAATACGAGCATCTGAAGGTTACTCGATTACTATTCCTTCCCTAATTAAAATATTTATCGAACTTCGAATAGAATTCATCAGCTATTTCCATTAAACGTTTGTTCGATTCCATTAATTTTCTTTCAGTTTGAAAATGGATTTGCATATTTATTTCATTAAAACTCTTCTTTAAAGAATTATTGTTCTCATAAGCGAAAGAATGTGTGTAGTTTGTGAGTAGTGAATCAAGAAAAAGATGAAAGTCGATTCACCCGCAAAAAAACTTTATCTGTGGTTTGCATTTGATTTTTCATTGAGCTGTTATATTTGCAAGTGCATCGAGACAGAGCACTGTTTTGAGGAAATGCAAATGATGTCAACAGAAGCTGATGAACACACAGCGTCCGAAAGTGAAAAGGCTGAAGAAGAGCAGATGGAGCACAGATATACAGATGAACTTAGCAATAGTGAGGAGGAGTCAGTCACAAAGGTTCGAAGTTCAGTTTGGAGTGGAATTTGCTGATTGTTTTTGTGGTCGATATCAAGTTTTTCAAAAGTGCTGAAAATATCGAAAGTCAATATATGCCTAGGTGGTATGCAAAAGAAGAGGATTAGATCAGAAAATAATGATACTTATCATCACTAGGATATGTTTAGTGAGAGAAGAAAACCCAATGAGTACAGAAGAATTGCTTCCTGATCACCTATTCAATTCTCCTTATAAAACATTATAAGATTACTCATGTGATGCGTTTGAGGATAAATATTGTGAATAATTACTTATCGCTATGAAATAATAGCTTGCTTCAATTTTCTTACAAAAATTACTTCATCAATAGCTCAATAAGATTTTTGCACATCAAATTGGTTATTCAATAAATTAGCAATGAACATATTGAATCAGATAACAAAATATCCTTATGCAATTCAGCTGAACATTGAACAGGCTAAAAAAAATAATGTAAGCTTATTTCATACTTAACAACATGATAAAACGCTGACAATTTTTTAAGCATGAAGAATTGGAACAACGTAACTCAGAAAGTGACGAAGAGGTAAGTTCTTGTCACCAGTCAAAGTATTATTGTACAAACATCCGTTAATATCACCAATAGGATATGTTTAGAAAACCGTTTTACACTTTGTACTTCAAACTAAAATACTGAGGGGAGACACAGAAATGTTCAAAGTTAGTTCATGGTCGTGTAGTTTTGCGTCACTTCTGACTTGATAGCAAACTCTTTGTTCTTGTGATCAACAAACGACATGAAAATGCGCCTCAGTATTACCACATTTATCAAAAAAAACGCAATTATTGTCGGCGGGCCAATTCGGGCCAGCGGGCCGGGGGTTGCCGATGCTTGCCCTAGATGTTTACAAAGTTTTGAAGTATTCGGCATGTTCTTCAAACGAAAAAATAGACTAACATAAAAATCGCATGATAAAATGAGGAAATATTTGACATATTAATTTCCCTCCCCTCATTTTCAAGCATATTTTCGTAATTCAAGATTTGCTCTTGATCGTAAAGTCCCCCATTGCTCAATTATTTTCATAACAAAACACTTTGCATTGTTTTTCTTAAAGCAGCACACATCCAGTTGCATGCATATAAAGTGCAGTAATGAGAAGAAGAATACTGTCGACTCACAGAAATGAATAATTCAGGATGAGGTCAAAACAGATGATGCACTCGACGACTATGGACAAGAAAAATATATTGAGGAGGATGTTCACATTGGCGACGTAAGTTCATTCTTATTCTGCTAATCGATCCCAGCACTGAACGAGTGCAACTTCATATTACTACTATTTACCTGAGCTAGTTCGGTGAGATAATGTAATCAAATGATTAGTTAACAACTGAGCGTGATTAGTGATTTCTTCATAATTTTGAAATGATCAGCAATATATAAGGATCCATTGAAATATCGTTTGTTTCCATTGAATTGATTCACCAATGGAACGTTGAAAGTTACGATTATTCTCTTAAGCTTGATTGAAGGCATGAATGACATTCAGTTTCATCAGAATGATTTCATGAAGATGTTTTAGGGGCAGGAAGAAGTAAACGAAGACGAAACACAACCGCATACAGCAGAAAATTTTTGGGAGTATGAAAAAAGCCAGGTTATTTTCCATTTTCTAACGTCACTTATATTATAATGATACTCACACTGAAAAATTTTCTCAATACGTCTTCAGAATTGTGGGCAATAGCACGCTATTCGCTATTTCGTAACTAGCGGAGCCACTTTTTGGTTCTGTAACAGCTCGATAACTTTCTAATAGAGCGGAAATTTGAGTCGATAACTTTTGCCACAATAATTTCCTAACGACATAAAATAGCGATAACTTGCGCTACTTTCTTTCGTTAACACATTCGCGATCTACTTTTAGCGTACTTCCGCTAACTCACTACTTCTTCTCTGCAAGGGTATTCTTATTCTTCTCAACATCAAGATATTTAAAACACATATTTACACTCTAGCACTGACACGTGATAAACTCGAATTTATTGTTCTCGTAGTCGTCCTAACGGGTCAGAGTTGGACTTTCAATCATGCCTGGAATGCTCGCTGTAAATACCACTAGCATGTCAACTGAGTTTTTTAATAAATAACTTAAGTAACAATGCAGTAAAGTTTTCTGCATTTCCTTTCTCGTTACGAAGGGATATGATAAGAGCCAAACGAACCGGACTCTCAGACGACATGGTCAGCGTTTCATTTTCTGTTACTGAATTGTGATTTTAGTACTGATTGGTGTTTATTGTTACAATGATTTTTTACTGTTAAATCAAAATTTCGAACTGAATAGTGGCATATTAATTGTAGTGTTTTTTCCCGGTCAAATCTGCAGCTCGACTGCAAATTTTGAGGGAAGATTTGAAAGTAGCGATTAGCGGACTAACATTGCTGATTAGTGTTTTAGCGAAAACTACCGCTATTTTTTGATTAGCTCCACTTTTAGGGAGAAGATTTCGCTACTGTTTTGTCAGCGGCACTACTAGCGGACTATTTCCAGGAAAAAAATTTAAGCGAATTAGCGATTGGCGGAGCCTACTTTTTTCAATAGAGTATCTATCACTGCATATACGTCAACATAAATGCATGCCTTATGCTTACATATATGTGACTAAACAAATAACTGAAGGTGAGAAGAGGTACAGAGGCAATAGAGGAGCCGGATTTCAAGATTGATATTGAGGAAACTGAGAATGAAGAAGAGAATGAAGGAGCATCGAAAAACGAGCAGGAACACTATGAACATGAAGAATTTGAAGATGCTGTATTTGCTGGAACGAAACCGCGTAAGTGTAAAGCTTATGAGAATTTCATTGTTTCTAATTAAAATAGAATGACAAGGCGACTGACACTGACGCTGTGAGTATTTGTATGCATATTCAAGCATTTTCGAAAATTAATACCTCAAAAAAAAAATGTCTCGTATGGAACAAGCGGCTCATTCAAAAAAGCTTTTTGTCTCGTTAAAAGAAGTCTTCTGAATTGATTGTAAATGTGTTTCTGAATAGAAAGTTGGAGAAAAGTGAGAGTTGTTGATTCACAAATATTCATCGATGACATTTCATCGCCTTCCTCTTAACGATATTGAATTTGAATGAATAAGTGGCGGAGGACAGTTCACAGAATCGTTTGCATTCATTCACGAATGTTCAAGATGTGACCTTTCAAGATGGTCATCGTTTTAAATTAGTAAGCCTAATAAAACGATGAGCTTAAAATTCAGTGTTGTTTATCTAGAGCAACTCAATATTTCAGTTGATGATGTTACAAAAGATTACGCTTCAGTTGCGGACGAAGAATCGACAAAAAGTGGGCCTGCTCTGGTATGTGATGAAAGTTGAGTTGTTATTCAATTCTAAATGGATGTCCTAAACGTCAGATGAAGTGAAGATATGAAAATTAGAATAATTCTGAACTAAGTGTTGATTCAAGCTGTCAATTCGATCGAATTCAAGAGTCCGATGAGTTCATCAAACATCCAAATAATTAAGCCATATCAGTTCATTTCGATAATTTAAGGCCTGATAACTTATTTTGGCAATGAGAGTTTTATTTGAGGAAAGGCAATCCAGAAGATCGTCGAAATCTTCATATCGCGCGATTAGTGTGAAGAGAGATAGTATCGGATCGACAAAAAGTGGTATACTTAATTCAATTCTACATCGCTCACCGAAATCTGAATAAGTCATTTGAAAACGAGCAATTTGGATAGCGCAGAATGAGTGATTAATTTAGTAGGACACGAGGAGACACTTTCCAGGAACATTCGAGCCAAACAAAGAATCTTCACTCAAAGGTGAGGTTAGTGGAGCACCAGGTGTTCGGAACTTGAAGTCAGTGTTCGAGAAGGAGGACACGAAGGGTGCAAAGTTACCCAGTTCCCGTAGACACCCACCAGTGATTGATTATATGAACGAACAAGACTACCGTCAACAAGAAAAGGTATGGATGACTGTATTTCATATTGAGCTTGAAACCACTGCAATAAAACAAAGCTTTTGATATATTTTTAAATTGTACTCTAAAATTGGGTGCACTTATTGTTGAATAATGTGCTGCTGCATTGCTCATTCTGTTAATGGAACAATCAATGAGGTGACTAACATGATAGATTTATGAAGTATAGTGTGAACTCAGAATTCAATGACGGCAGTGATGTTCTAAAATTTTTCTAGCGTGCGATGAGGTACAAGGAAAAATAATTACTAACGTATCTTATTTGAATGATTTATAAAAATGCAATAAACTGTAACGTTTGAATCAAAAACCGCATTCTCAGAAAAAGCAGGAAGCCGTTAAGCCAGTGGTTATGAAAAGACAGGAAGTCCGTGAGCCAATAAGCACGAAGGAAGCAAAACCAGTGGAGGAACGCGTAAGTTTTTAATAGAGTAATATATTGGTTCAGTGGTTGATTGACGGATGCTATTCTGTGATCAGTCAGCATTGTTTTACTAACGTCTTACGATAAAACACACCACAACCAATCCACTCATATGATTGAAAATTCTTAGAATCCTCCCACATTTATTTGTCTTAAGTCATTCTTGATTCAATTCCCTTTTATATTCTCGTTTTTTTTTTCTGAAGCCTAGTGATAGTTTGAGATGAAAACGACTGTGGTGTGTGTTAAATGAAACATTCATGCAGCTGTGAATAATTTCATTTTATGGTTAAACAAGGAATTTTCACTGGTTAATCAATGACGAACTTCTAGGCAGTTGTTGAAGAAGAGAGTCAGAGATCCGTCAATGAACTTTTGAGTGTTTTCACACCACCACGAGGAAGAATATCTGCTGAGACTCGTAAGGGAAAAGAAAAAACGTGGCTTAAGGTATGCCAGTCTTCAATTTGTTATGTCCAGTTTCTTCATTTCGTTTTAAAACGTGTTAAAATCATACGTTTTTAAATCTATTGATACGAACACTCACTGAATTCGAGAGATATACTTTGTTCAGTAGTGTGCTACAAATAATTTGTGAGACACATGAACTAAACTGTATGCAAAACAATCAGTTACTGTGAATCAGGCTAGCCGTTTTGTCGATTGTTACCGTTTTCAAATTAGTAGAAAATACACGTTTGCTTATGCAAACACATTTATTCAAGGCAACAAAGTCAGGCCCAGAAGTGCAAATTGTGGCAGTCGAAGCGAAAGGAACCGCGAAAGAAGTTGGTCGTCCTGAACAATGTAAGTTCTACATACAACGAAGAAGTATTGCTTATGTTTTTAAATGTTCATAGTTCGAAAATATCAGGTGCAAATGGGCGTTATGAAAACCTTTCATAGGTAACTTCGTCAAAGCTAAATTTTATAAAATGTATTTGTAAACTTCAAAGATTTGTGGAAAGCTTATAGATCCAATTCAAAAGCAGTTGGTATTTTCCAGTCGAAAATATATCGATATGAGTGGGCAATAAATGAATTAATAGGCGAATGAACGAATACTTTAAAAAGTGAATAAATGAATAAAGACAATGAAATTATCGATAGAGGTTCAAGCAACTTCAATTTGATGATTGCAAAAAAGAAATGAAATGAGATGTTTAGTGCCAAATGAGCATGTTTCATCAACAACGCAAGAAGCGCCATCCACTGAGTCGTCAACACTTTCTCCACCACAACGTGTCTATGTACCACCAAAGCCTGCAGCTGATAAGTTCCAGTCAATACGAGTGGTGAAAAATGTACGGCAATTCGTCAAGCTCTGGGGTCAAGCTCCCTATCATCCAGGTGATCCACATCCCCTATCACCAGTACCAACGCAAGCGCCACATGAAAAGCAAATTATAAAAGTCGTTGAACATGTTCGTAATAATCCTGCTTGATTCTTATCACTTGTTCTTTTAACTGTCAACAATCATTTTACTTTTTTTCACTTTTCATCATCCCAATTTCCAAACTTGTGTTTGTTTTCGAATCGCTTTCATAAGTTTGTCACAATAACATTTTATTGTACATTTTTGTATGCGAATTCGTCCTCTAAATGATATGTTTGATTTTTTTGTTCAGTTTTGATAAACCTTATACAGTCGTCCGAATATTTTTTCCTGAGGAAGCTGGGCTTCAAAAATAAGGCTGCCATATCCGTATTTTATTCATATCTATAATTTTTTTAGAAAACTGTAAAAGCACATTCAGCACCTAAGCAATCCAAGGAATCCAATGAGCAAGTAAAGTTATTCTTCATTCGTTAAGTTTCTTGATTAGTACGTTTGATTTCAAATGTTCAGTTCATTCAAAATTTTGCAACTATTGTAGTGTTTCTATAAAACACAACTTTTAAATATTGACCCTTGAAATTTTACGATCGACCAGCTTCACAAGCATCATGGATACAAACTGTACTAAAACCGATGCTTCATATATCGCCTAAATAATTATCCCTCAATAATAGGTGAGTGCTAAAGACAGCAAGAACGAGCAGCACGCTGAACAGAAACACCAGCCAGAAATTGTTTACTCGGGAGATGATACAGCCGAGGAGGTTATTGACGTGCCAGTATCCCAAAGACGAATGATATTCGAGACAGCGACGAAAGCACCTCTCGCACGACGCAGATCAAGTAAATACGTTCGTTTGGGCATAGCTGAAAATGCGATAATAAATTTAGCTGGCAGAATCATTTATTCAGTGATTATCAGCAACAATAAACTAGCAACTGCATTATTTCTAAAATGGAATAATTTATGAAATTTTTAGGCAAGAAATCGTCACAGGTGGAAAGACGAGCACCACAAGTGAGCCACTTAAATTGTGTGATTTTCTCATTAGATAAATGCTGGAAAAATAACCTTCTCAATAGTCATATGTGCACTCGATGGATTGACTTGTGGCAATTGGATGAAACGAGAAGCAAAGATAATTCCTTAAGACGGTGAAATATGAGTGGTGCACACAGCGTATGATTTTGCTGAAGTGAATTCGATGCTTGAGTGGGTATATAAGTAAAACACTTTTAGGTAAAGAATGAGAAGAAAGAAACAAATGAAGTGGATGAATCCGTGCAAGGAAACGCCGAACCAGTTTCACGTGATGCAATTAAACAGGTATCGTGATTACATCGATTGTGGATTTTTCATTTGATGAAAATTCCACTCTACGAATCTCAATCCACGACAGTGCTGAATTACTGCATTACGTTATTAGACAAGACAGCAGCAAGTGAATGAAGTTTTTGTTTTCGCTCAACATTTGCGATATTTTTTATGCATAGCGTCCCGATTCGATATACCGCAATGCAGTCAATGGAACTAAAGAGTAAAACTAGTTAAGTGACCGCGGAACTGCAATTTTTAAAAGCTGAACTCAAATGTCTTACTGGATGCGATAATACTGATATTAGAGGACTTAACAAGTGTTTTCTATTCAGATAGAACTAACTGATCGATCCGTTCCAGGAAACTGAGGAAATAGCGGACTACATAACACATTTCACATCGATTTCTGAAAGATGCAAGCTTTTCGAAAAGAAAGCTTGATTGGTCCCGCAGAACTAAACCAAACACCATCTGAGGTTCTGAATCAACAAAGTGTTAAATCCTGCAATATTTAATGTTCTCATGTTTCACAGCAGGAGTTGATCATATTTTTCCGTTTTGTGATAGATTCTCAAAATCAACGAATGATTTAATCTTACAGTATACTTACAAAACAATCCTCAAAACAAATGCTCGTTCCTTAAAAGTAAGACAAAATCGATTCACGAATGATAACGCTAGCACGTCTGCATCTACTTGTTGCACGAAAAAGTAGCCGAAAACAGCTGAACGAACTCAAACATCTATCTCGAGCATATTTAAAGAAACATTCCATTTTTTCAAATAACCACGCAATGGAAGCTTTCCACACCAAATTCACATGAATGTAAGCTAAATGAAATTAGATGCGCATTTGCAATGCAAATTAGCTCAAAGTTCTTGATTCAGTTTTATTACTCCAAAGCAACAATATCCGTGCAATTTCAATGTATCATTTTGAGAAGTAATGCAGTTAAACTTTCAACAGCATTGCATATGATGGCATTATCATTGTTCCTGAAAATATTTGATTACGACATAGATATTAAACATTACTTGAAGTTCATTTCTTGTATCCCATCTTCATTTTATTTTCATCGATAGTCAGTGTTGCTTTCATTATTTTTATCGTTATTATTATTATTCCCATTAATATCATTATTGTAACAATCACAACTATTGTTACTGTTGATAGTTGCCTTATTGTAATTTTCATCATATTATCATTTCCATTGAATTAATTTTAAAAGTTACCATTAGAAAACATATTCCGCTTCGAGAGTTTGTTTTATTTTTTATAATTGCTTTTAAATAAATATTTTGAACCTCATATCAACCGAAAAGAAATTCAACAGCAATTTAACATGAATTACATGAAATCTGATTAATTTCACATTCAATGGTTCATTTCAAAATAAACTTTTGTTTTCGAATTGTTCATTTAAAGTATGATAAAAGATGACTATTGGTTTCAAGCGCTACTTTTTGATTTAAAAACTGATCAATGAATTCAGTGAGAACACGATATTCATTCAAAAATGCTTTCATTTACCGTTCTATTATCATCAATTTCGAAAATTTGAACAAAGCAAATAAACAGACATCATGAAAAGTTATTTATATGCATTCAAAATGAAAAACAATGTAACAAAATAGGATTCAGTTGAGCATTGTATGTTTTATTATCTACAGTCAACATCAAAAGTTCTCGCTACAAGAATTTAACTTAATGAAAAATGAAGAACAGCCGAATGAGCATCATTCAAATTGGAATTTCATTTCGACAAATTTCCAAATGAGAAATAATCTATGGAATATAACTCATCCATGAATTGGTCAACAGCCACATTCAGAAAGAAAGAGGGAATGCGAGCAACGAGGTTATTACGATGAACTAAATCAAAACAATAAGAAAAGTTTGTCGCTATCACAGAAACATGAACAGTTAAAGAGATGAATGCAATGAAGATGATTTACACGAGCTATCGTCAATTTGTGCTGTTTCTTCATCGGTTTCGAACAAGTTTGCAACGCTGTGATAAATTTGATTACCACTGTAAGCACTTTGTAGCATGACAAACAACAGCAACTTTATAAAACACTATATTTTTGAAAGCTACTTCATAATGTCTCACAGTTGCTCCCAAGGAATTTATTTGCATTACTAATTTTATCGCCCCACTTCCATATTATTTAATCCATATCTAACTGAGAGTTCGCGAAAGTACTAAACATATAGCTCGAGTAAAAACAGTCTACTGTGAGTTACTATTCATAAATTTTCTATCTGTCGATGTGAAAATTCGTTCTTTGTACATAATGTAACAGTACTTTCGAGTGAAATTTGTACATAATGAACGGAATAAATGCATTACTTTCGAAACTGCTTCTAACCCTTGGTGAACTTAATGAAACGTCACGTCCATATTAAACACACCTTTTTGGTTCTTTTCGAAGTCTTTTCAATGTTTTGTTATAATCATTTACAGATCGCATTATAATGCCCGTTGTGTCACTGTTATCGATGGGAGTTGATTCCAATTTCAGCGGTAATATCCGTCTTCGAGCGTTTATAAACCTTAAAATGAACCTACGTTAGCCGCCATTCACCATTACCTCTGTCCTTATTCGATTTTTCAAGTATACACAAACAAACATTTGTGAAGAGCACAGCATCACATCAATCCATATATTTATACAATGAAGTCAGAAAAAACAAACGTACCAATTGTTAATCTGAACGACTTGCAGACCAGTTTCTTTCGAAAGCATTGCCTTCTGATGTTCAGATGGATAGGGGTGCTAAAAACCAATAAATATGGAAGAAAACGACGAGGTCATGATGACAAAATGTTCCATCTTGAAATGTGCGATGAAATTCAATTAGTTAAAGAAGTGAGAAGATTGTTTATGCATTCTTCACAGATCATCGCTTCAAACACTTACTATCTGACAGTTTCAAAGCCATTCGCACGGACCGATAATCAGACTAGAGGCAGCAGTTAAAAGGAAAATAGAAAACGAACGGATGCATTAAGAAATAGCCATGATTTGAGCTTGTCGACGGCTTTGGAAGGCAATAAACATTTTCGTTTCGCATCAATGACATCTTCTTCGAACAAAGTTGTTGTCGAGTGAAACTTTGATGTATTATTCTCCGAAATTCGTCGCATAACTTCATCATCTTTTTTCCGCTGCAGTACGAATAAACTCAAATAATTCAAAGAATGTGTTATTCCAGTCCACTAACACTACTATTTGAACCATATAGACAGCTCTAAAACTTCACTTTTTCCTCACTTGAAATGAACTGGCATGCGACTACTACTCGCTCATTTGTAAAGTTAAGTTTATCTTTGATAGTTCTATTTCCTCGCACGACAGCTCATCTAGATTTTACGCGACGAATTGCAAAGCACTATTAACCACTGCATTCATTAATATTGTAAACGTGCTCAGCTGAGTTTCATTCTATACCAAATTTTTACCGTAAATTTTAATATGTTTGAATATATTTCGTGTTGTGATCAGTGCACAAATCAGTCTGTAATTTGCCCACTGTTCAGTCTTCTATCAAAACACAAGAACAATTCAAAAATGAAACCTGAGAAGTATTTGCTTCACTTTCACAATTTGATTTGTTGCCTTCTTCTCTTTTTGAAGCATCACTTATCGAAGTACGGACAGAGGAGGCATCCCAAAGATTGAGCGGAATAGAGACCTTCAAAACTGTTCTTGATAATTGAACAAACAACACGTAATCGTTCACGGAAAAATACAATAAATACTGCGACTAGCATTCGTGAGAAAAAATACACATTAGCGCACAACTATTGCAGAAATCTAGTGAAAAGGATTTTTAATTGATCAATAAATTATTTTAATTGAAACATTCAAAAGGATGGGTATATCGAGGCGATCAAATGAAGGATGCAGCAAGTGGTCGCAATAAAGGATTGCAAATAAAGTTGATTGGAAATTAAGAAATTAAGTAAACAAACCATTCCGTTGACCGTTGTCAACATAGCGATTGTTCGACTACTCCTCTGAGGTAATGCGGGAATTTTGGAAGTTAACTGAAGAAAAACGCATAAATTTTTTGTTGGGCTTCACAAGCGCTCGAATTCTCGAGATTATAAGTACCACAATTTTAACCACCTTTCGTTGAACAATTTCTTTCGCTCTTTTTTCAACGCTGCGGACATCGCTGTCTAATGAGTTTTTTGCCACTCCACAACGACTCATTTTTGCGAGATGATATTTTGCGAAAATTTTTGACGGTATGTGCTCATTAGACGCATGTTGAACTCATACAATACCAAGAGAAGCAATTTAATTAAGGCAATGAATACTGATTGCCAGTGAAATTTTACTATCAGTGAAAGTGTTTCACTAAGCGAATGAAGTTCAATTGAAAAGAAACAAATTGGATGCATACTTCAAGTGGTAAATCAGGATTGGTTGATGTTGATGACACCTCATCATCACTGTCATCACCAGGACCGATCATCGATTCTTGACTCATTTTCTTTTTCAGCGATTCTATAGGATAAGATTTCAGTGGATAATTCAAAATCAGTTTTGGCCTAATTTGATTAGACGTGGAGAATAATTACTTTCAGAAATTCTTTCTCTAATCATGACGAGGCATTTCATTTGTTGCCCCAATATTCATTTAAAAAAGATTGTGAAATGATGGCAATAAGTAATTAATTGATGAAATGTGCACAAGCTTACGAGAATATTTTGATTTAAAATCGTTGCATAGATCAGCCACTTTTAATAATTCAATGAGATGAATCCTCAGCATAAGAATCGTATTGATCAACAGGCTATCGATTTCACTGTTCTCGAATAGTGCGCATTCACGGCTTGCAGATATCTCGTTGATCATCTAACGCAGAAAAATTAGTCATGAGTTGGCTTTGAGATGAAAATTGCCTGGCAATTTACTTCGATCCGTTTAAAACGGTCATTGTTTAACGGATACAACCTTACACATGCAGAGCCAGAAAAACATTTTGCATCAATAAGAAATTAAACATTTACCTGTATAACGTCGTGCATTGCAAATGCATCTGCTGACATACTCCACGTAGCTGCTTCACATTTCTTTAACATGAGCTGAAAACAAGTATGTCCTCATATTTTTGCATAACTTTCAAACATTCATTCAAATACAGACTTTCATAACATAACTAACAGCAGATGTTATTTGCAAGTGAGTAAAATTCTGAATATATGACCGATGTGACTTTGAACAATTATCGAATTCAGGTGAAGTTGAACAAGGAATTTTACTCAAAATGATTTGATGAAATTACATGTATACCTATGATTCACTGCTGTTCTATGGTTCTTGATGTAAGCTCACCACGACAGATGATAGAAATATCACATGTCCTCATGAATTTCATTTGCAGACGGTTTCAACGTTGCCTTCATGATCCGTTGCCTTTTATCATTTTATCGCGAAAGATAAGTCAAAAAATTACATCAAAAATTACGAATCATGGCTATATCAGCATCTTCTCTCTTTCACTCCTCACGCTAATTACTTTACGCACGTGAATAGCTCACATGCACAAAGCAGTTGTTCATTATGAATCGTCTTGAAACGCTTCACTCAACAAATGCTTGAAAAGGCACATTCGTATTGCAAATATCTATCACAACTGTACGTATTCTAGACGAATCGTTTAATGAACTCATCTAGAGTACTTTCAAATTAATTACATCGGTCTAATTTTTCCAACTCATCACTGCATAAGATTGAGGCTCACCTCTAACAATGGAAATAGAAAATGCTGCTTTATCGTTGATACATCATCTTCACGTTTAGCATTTTTTACATCCAAATTCTTTGAGCTGACGGCATTTTCGGCGTCAGATTGATCATGTTCCCTCAAACAAACAACAGCTTATCATTCAAACCAACTAAGGCTATTTTTACGAAAGTTTGGCGGATACTAATCAAAGTCCAAGATTAAAAAACACTCAAATCACTGTGTTATTAGCTAGTTAGAACTTCTCCTGAATGCTTGCAAGGCCGGAGTGAATATCGTATGATAAGCTCTTGGGATACATCATCTTAAAACAGCACAATTCGTCTGGCGGTAAATCCTGATAACTATATCTTTCTCGCTGGTGTTAGAATGTTTTTCAACATGGTTAGCACTGCATAAACGCAACATGCACTGGATGAAAAATTAAACAGTTTATTTTCTTAAAGTATACAGCGAAACAAACATTCTATCTATGGAAAGAATTTTTTTAATCAATTCTAATGAATGAATCACTTTATGTAACTAAAATTGAAACACTCCAAGCACGAGAACTAAAAACTTTGAGTTTCTTAGAACACACACGTCATAAAATAGCCGCTTATTGCTGCTTGCATCTTGTCTTTATGATTATAGTGTGGATGAAAAGGAAATATGAAGTTTACTTTGAACTCGAGCATTCGTTTTGGGAGTGTTCATCTCGATGGCATTCGATTGATTCATTCGAAAACATTGCTTTCTGCAAATGAAACCCTTCAAATTGATTGCTCATCATATTCGAGTGTGAAAAGAAATGGTAGAATTAATCAGAGAATTTTAGTAGATTTTTGAGAGTTAGAAGAAATGAGTGCGAATGCTTAAGTATGTGTTAGCTGGAGTTCAACGCTTGAGCAATACAACATATAACTGAAAACTTATTGCTGGTGAGCACAATATGAGTATCGCCGGCAGAACAAACATCCTTAGAGCTGATTCACTTTCCATGAAGGAATAAAAATTGATCATTAATAAACGAAATGTTGATAACTTTCATGATGCTTGAAGATATGCACAACTTGGACACTGACATGGGTACATTCTGATGAATTTTTTCTGTCATAGTGCAAAAAGAATCAGCTTTCATTTCCAGTTTTCCTTCTTCTCTTGATTTTGTTTCTTTTCAACAGGACAAAGGAACTGCATATTCACATGAAATATTTCAGCTATTCTCAGTCTGTTTTTCTAGATCCAGAATTTACATTTCAATTCCTTTTCATACCTCTAGAATAGATTAATTGTTTGTCGAAACTTCTGGGCTTCAACAGAAGCCCCTATGAAAGTATCTATAATATTTCATCGATTGCATATGAGATCCTGAAACCATTCTGGTTTATAACTCTGAAATGACGTGCACACTGCTCGCAGAAATTAGCATGAACTACTGCAAGAAATAATAGGCATTTAATCAAATGAAACGACAATCAGATTTGATGAAGTAATTCGATAACTTGTATCATCCACATAACTTAAGAATGCAGCAACGTTTACAACTATTTCGAGACTGTAGATGAAAAAGCAAATTGAATTGAAAGTAAGTTGAGAACGAAAGAAATGAAGTGTTGTTGAATTAGTCGATAATCGTATGCGTAGAGGTTAAGACAATAAAATTGAGTATTTAAAGAGAGTGTTCATAAAAGCAGTTATCGTCTTTTGTTGAGTTATCGAATTCACTGGAACACTCGCCCTCCCATGGGCATTCGTTGGCCATAT